CTCAAAGACTCGAAAAGGTATCATAAAGGGAGCAAATAATCGGAAAAGCGTCACATCTGTACAGACAAACAAACTGTCTCGAATGTTATTGGTACGAGCAGTTGCAGAGCAGTCGTTTCGAGTGCAGGGAAATAAATAATATACCCGGTGACAAAAGATGCATAGGTGCATGTCAGTAAGCGAAGGCGATGGGTCTGGGACAATACGAAATTCAATTTAAAATGTTACTGAAATATAGCAAGTAGTATTATAACAACGGAGTTTGTCCAGGTTACAGAGATCGGGTGGTAGTTTTGTGGACACTGCTACACAAATCCAGCTTTCTCTTAAAGACCTCGACAGAAGCAGACATAACGACATCAACAGGCAGGGCATTCCAGGCTTCTAGCACTCTGTTAGAGGAGAAGAAGAACTTTTGTGTGTCCAGTCTGGCCCCTGTCGCACGTAGTTTGAATGGATGGCCTCGTAGATTTGTGGTGGTTGCTAACTCGAAGAAGTCCCCCGGTACGAGGCTGCAGTCCTGACCGCGTATGATACGGAAGGCTAGTATCAGGTCACCCCGTAACTGCCTGTAACTCAAGGGAAAGAGATCAAGGTTAGCTAGCCGCGTTGCATGTGGTAGTGAACCCTGTCCTGTCACAAGTTTCGTTGCACGCCTTTGAACCCTTTCAAGGATGCTGAGGTCCTTCGCGATCCAGGGTCTCCAAGATTGGATAGCAAATTCTAGTTGCGGCCGCACAAACGTTCGAAAGACTTTATCGAAGCAGTCTTCATCGAAGGCGGAGAAAGCCCGCTTGACAAGGTAGAGGACTGACATTGCAGACTTGGCTATCTTCGTGCAGTGCAGCGAGGGTTTGAGAGAGGTCGTAATCCATACTCCCAAGTCCTTCTGCGAGTCCACTTCTTGCAGTGGTATACCATTTAGGCAGTAGGCCATATGGTTCGGAGAGCGAGCTCTGCCGACTCGTAGAATATTGCATTTTTTCTCATTGAACGGCAGAAGCCAGTCCTTTGACCACTGTTGGAGTCGGTTTAGGCTCGCCTGCAAATGCTCTTCGTCATCTGCATTTCGAATGACGCTCCAGAAGCTCGAATGTTGCTCAACACAGACAATTCGTGAATGGCCGACGAGGAAATCTCCGATCCATTTAAAAAGTTTGCCTGCGATGCCCATGATGCCCAACTTGTAAAGAACACGCTGGTGCTGAACACTGTCGAACACCTTCCATAAATCGATGTAGGCTGCATTCACAGCGTGTTTCGCATCGAGTGCTCTTGTCACTACAAGGACACCTTGAAGACCTCACTTGAGCACCTGCAAATCAATCCGGAGACCTGCGGGACCCCGCTCAGGATTAGTAAGCGCGGCGCGCTGCCTAGAGACCGCAGCATCCATCTTCGAAGACAACTGAGTAGTTGCTGTTAAGGCAAAGAGCGAAACCCACAAGGCCCAACTTTTGTGGACTACTGACTCAAGCACGCAAAACTTGTCATTGTGTCTGCGCTATAAAAGGACATTCCAGACACGGTTCGGCCCCGTTGCACATCTTCAGACCCAATGTAATGCCAGCATGGCGGACACGTCTCCCACCTGATCACACATACCCACATGCTGTGGGGATCAGGCCGCGTGTGATACGCGTAGACAGACTGCCTAGCTTTGTCAGTCATCGCGTCCAGTTCTGCTCTCGGCAGTCTTGATATAGTGTCTTCATCGGGGCTTGATGGAAGAGGGGAGAGACTGAGTGCGATAAATGCGGCGTCCTCTCCGCGTAGCCGACAGTGGACACCACTACCTGCGACAGTCGAGCCATCACCTCCAGAACCTTATTATCACCGACTTTTACTTTAGAGCCAACCGGCCTTGGGAATATCCGTTTTTCCTCAAATTGCTGGCTTGTAATTATTTTGGGGGGAATTAGATTTGCCAGCGTTTGCGCATAAGTATAATGAAGTGCTTTTGTGACCTAGGTGCCTGTGGGCAGAGGAAAGCGTATGTTCCGTTTTACCAAAATTAGGATCAACTGCCCCAATTATTTCTTTTCTACAAATCGATGAAGACCAAAATTCGATGCAGGAAGAAGATTGTCTCCCTATTAAATGACAGGAGAAGTGTGTAGTCTGTGTTATGAGGCTTTCCTGCAATAACCTTAGTAGGTTATTACTTCAGGAAATCTGCCTCCAAAGCTACACAGAAAATGGGCGTCAGTCTTTTATTAGAATAGAATAGGTTTATTATAGCGCCCCTTGAGCACTGTCAGTCTCCTTTGCAGGATATAAATGTATATTACGAGGTGTCAGAAAAGTCGCAGGAGAGGAAATCAGGTGTGACCTAACACACAGGATACAGTCTCCTCTCTAACACTTTGCATTGTGGCCCTACTTCAAGCGACTGTCGCAACGCTGGTCCTAGTGCGACTGTCTACGCGTGCGCATCAGAACTGCCTCGGGTTCGTCCGATCAGATTCAAGACCCAGTCAGACGTGCGGTGGCTTAAGACACTTTAAAGCATTCCCTGACTCGCACTTGGGACGCCGATCTCGCGGCGTCGGACGTGCCCTCGTCCGGCTACCAACTCCTTCAAATCCCGTCTTCAGATGTTCTGTACAGAGTATATAATCTTCCCAACTGGCGTCCGTCTTGTCTTTTCATTCGGGACCGTGCCTGAAGACCGTGGTAGAAAGGTTCTCATTCTCAGCTTAGGCCTCTACGATAGTAGTTGCCAAAAGTGAAATATTCCTAAATGGGTACTTCAGAGTTAGCAGTATTAGCATTGTTCTAGGCTTCCACGATGACACCTATGCACGGTCTGTCAAAAATTACAAAATGACTAAGCGTTACAAACTTAGTACCAAGGCCGCCGTTACTGGTTAATGAATACTGCATCGAATACTGCATTGGTGGCCGGATCTGTGTTTAACCTTTCCCTGACAATGTCTCTAAACTGGCATCGAATACAATTATTATTATGTTAATCTCTGGGGGGCCAAAACCACTCCTTCCCTCAATCATAAAATTTGATCTGGTGCAAGTCAATCCTGACCATCTCTATTTCGCTCCGCGGTCTAACCACATTGGCAACTGCCACTCCCATTCATGAGTGCAAAGGAAACGACCGCACCCTTACGCCAGGTAATTTCTGTATGTTTTTGTGGAACTTGCGGTTGACGAGCTCACTGTCATCGCTACGTCTAAAGTTAAGAAACTGTGGGGACATTCGATTGACAATTCACAACCAAGATTTCCGAGGCGTTCAGCTTACACCCACCCAGAAGCAGAAAGAAACTGGAACAAGTGGCTCGCAGGATAGGAAAAGGGCTTTCATATACCAAAGTATAGTTCCTGGGAATCTTCAGCAATACTCGTGTTTGAGAATGACAATCCAATTGTCATTTTTAGTTAAAAGGATGAGCCATTCATCGGTTCACAAAACCCAGTATTGCATCCCTCCCAGAAACCTGTAATTGTGATGTCGTTGCCGACTAGGTTATCTCACTCTTCAGATCGCCGACTGACTACTATTTCAGTCAGTGACCAACAAAGAGTGTAGGTCAAAAAGGCAGCAGGGAGGAGAATGCGCGCCTAATAAGAGTTTTCACAACTGAAGAAAAGTCGCACGGAGCAGAATGTTTTCGAAAAGCGTCTTTCCTGCAGCGCTGATTTAAATAAAATATTGAGAGGAATATCGAAATGCCAGTGTGCGAAGTCAAAATGCAACTGGGAAGTAGCTGAAATTCATCAAACAACCATTCTTCTAAGTCTTAGTAAAAAAGGGCCGCAGCCCTGTCAAAAGAACGGCTTGGCTCAATTCTGCACCAAGTTTCTATGGACACTTCTTTCGCTTGACTCAGCATCTCCTATCCTACGCTACACATTCAAATTCGACGGACTTCGACCCTGTAATTCGCATATGGAAAAGAGAAAGGCCTTCACGACTTCGTAATAAGTTGACTTGACCCTCAGTGGCGGAACGATAGACTTCAATCCGTCCTAAAGTGACTGAATCCGTTTAACTCGCAGGTCCTCCCTGCCAAAAGCCGAAAAATGACTATCTGGCGACGCTGAATAGCCCAGGAACTGTCATTCCACATTCCCATTGATTGCGTAGCCATTCCTTATGATTAAGGAAGTTCGGTTAGGGGTTTCGTGCTAAAGACCGGTGAAGGGCAATGCATCGTTTTGGACTACGTTCTTCTCCATCTGGTGAGAATGAACAGTAGCAATCATTCGGCAACATAACCGAACAGTATCTCCGCGCTCGATCACTTGATCATTGCAGTCATCCGTGTCTGACCTACAACGCCATAGAATCTATATCTTCCAGTCATACGGCACAGCAAGCCGTGCAACCTAATTGGCCGCCTCTGTAGTAGAAGTTAGGAGTTCCTTCTCTCTGTAACAGATAAACATCTCTGTTCCACCAAGGAATTGAGCATGCTCTGTATTTCTGTTGTTCTTTATTAATTATTGGTTACAAACTCAGTAAAACCCAATGGCTGCAATTTAGGGCTTCTTGATCTAAATTGCCCGCACAAACACTTCGATTTCGGGAGCGTGATTAAGTTGACCGCGTTTTTGGTTTCATTTTTTGATTCCACGATTTCATTCGCATTTAAACGACAATATGTGTATTGGAGGCGCGGAGACGACGCATGCCTCACTAAAACCATCAGTTAAGTTCGGGGTAGTACTCTAGCGAGTGAATGACCAAACTGAAGAGCGCGCCTTCACACTGCGACTGAAGTTAATGCTTGTTGCCTTTTCTTGCCGGCACCCTCTACTACGGATTAGGATACACGCCCTAGTTTACCAAATATACTTCCTCCTCCAGAGGTAATCTGGTATTTAAGTCGTTCAAACGAACCATACATGACTGCAAAAAATCAAATTCATGCCATGCTTCACTGGGCAAACGTCCATTGGGTTTGAAGGGTAGTAAAGTTTAAAAGAACGACTGATTACTAGGCCTCATTCTAGGGTTCAAAGCAAAAACTAGACATTCAGCAGGGAGGTTCATTGTCGACATTGCCAGTGGGGGTCATTTGGGTTGGCGGACTGTGCAGAACGTAAATATTTTTTGGACTGTTTGTTTCGGGATCTGGGGGCCCACTGTCGACAGGCTCAGATTCATCGGCCACCACTATCAGGTGCTCCGCCATTGAGGGCAGGTAGTGCGGCGCTGCAGGGCACAGTCGGTTTCCTGATGTGGCCAGGTGGTTATCAGCAGTCCTTAGAGGTAGGACCGCCGAGGAACTGCTTGCAACATCGTCGTAGACAGTGGCGCCGCCGCAAGAAGATGTATGATGTAAACCGTGGGGATTCCCGGGAGATGGTCGAAAGATTCCTCTGCGTCCAGCAAGACCTGGCTGAGTGGACAGGTTCCCTTGTGCAGTAGGCAGGACCATCTCGGGCACTGTGGTTTCACCGGTCATCAGGACTGGCGTGTCGTTGGCGTCAGCCGGGAGACGGGCAGTTAGGTAGGGTGCGGGAGCGGGCACCGGGGGGTTGTCTGTAAATAGGGGATTGGCTATCAGGTAGGGGGTGCCGTCTGAAGGCACGGCACCGCCGCGTACCTGGTTTGACCTCACTGTGGACCAATCACGTGACCCGGGCAGAGAAGCGCGGGGGAAACCGGCGCTGCGGGCTCGGTAAAGACCATCCAGTTGGTTCGGCTTTATGGTGCCGTTTATAAAAGCAAACCGACCTTCTTCACTATTGAAAGCAGGGAGCTGGGGCTCGAATGGATAACCGTGAGTAAGGGTGCTAAAGTGCCGAAAGTTCGGAGACATATCCTCAAGAAGACCGCAGCCCGGATGGCAGTCGCTACTGAGCGGCGCAGGTATAACGTCGTTCTCCCAGAGCACTGAACTGGAACCCCTAGCACGGGTCGGTAGGCATAAAATTCCGCCTAATGTCCGGTGTTCACTGAAGTCTTGTTTACGTTTTTCTGGAGGAAAGGGGAATTTAAAGCAAAGGAATAAATAATTCCACCGGCTGAAGGCTAAAAATGTGAAAAAGGCAATTCAGATAACACTGACATCGCAGTGGGAGGTCATCTGACTGTCGAAGTTATCTCTGTATATCTGACCCACATGCATTTGAATGAGGTTTTTTAGTCAATAAAATGTATGAAGCAAATTTGTAGCTTACTCGGGTGCCTGGTGATGCTCAGTGAGGTGGTGGCTATGACGGACCGATAGTTTGATTGGCAGTTAAGACAAAAAATTCAAGTGTCGAGTGCGGTTGTATGCACAAATATGTATTCGAGTACACCCATCGACGTGTTGTCTTTTGCATGATACAAAGTTTAACATTTGGAGACCTGTCCCCATGCAGGGATCCAGCCTGAGGAGGATCGTGTGACATGTTTGCGAAGCGGATTTTTTGATTGGTTAGAAACTTCTGCAACTTTTCACATCCCAAGAATATAGCTTTATTTATCGGCCTCGCGTCTCAGAAAGGACGCTGAATGAATCGTAGCTATTTGAGCTGTTTGCGTTTGAAAAGTCTTCGGTTATAGAGGAGGGCGCAGTCTGCCCTACAAACCCCCGCATGCGGGTCCGTGATCTTAACGCCTTACCAGCTAAGCGCGGCTCCATATGCCGCACTGTAAATGAGCCGGGACAGAACGGGATCAGATTGGCTCACGGAACGCGCCAGCCTTGCTGCCAAGAGTCCGCGAGTGCCCATAATTGTTGCCATACATGAGAGGGGTGGGATAGCATGCCTACACGCAGGCTTTCACGCCCTGCCAGCCGCCAGATGGGTGACAGGCTCGAACAGTCAGCACGGAAGATGGAAGAAGGCGTGAAGCCGACACTGGCAAATCCATCCTCTCAGCACGCCAGCGCATTCCTCGCTATAGTAAATTTGAAGTGTCTGAAGCCATCACGACGCGCAAAATTTCGTGACTTGGAAGACTGACAACTAACGGGATAACTCGGCCCTTTGCAGGATGGAGAGTCAGGTCGTAATGGTTTTGCCTGAATGTGGTCCATACGGTAGTCTCCCGCGTGTGAGATTCAGGCCGCCGTGAAAGCCTGATACATTCTGCAAGGACCAGGCCATGCGTGGTAGGCGTAAAAATGGTTGTTTACCTTTGTTAATCACTGCGCCCGAGCGCGCCGTCGGGGCCGAGTGAGTTATGGAGGAGGGAGAGCTGTAGATGTCGCTCAAGTCTGCCTCACTGTAATCTGCCTCAAGTGCATGTCACCGATGTGGCGTCAACACCGATGGACGTTGTGGTTTCCGACGGTCTAACTGTGCAAAATCAGTTTGACCGTGGCCTCAAGCATATCACTTCGTGGGTTTAAAGTTCAGGCTTCCCTGGACATGTCTAACGGTGCAATTAAGCCACAAATGGTAGTCTCAGTCTACCTCGGTACTACATCTCAGTTGCCGACTGCTCTTCCTTCTTTGGTATTCAATGTAGGTCGTGGAGTGGAGCTTCAAGGCAGAGTGGAACCATCGCATCCTGACCTGCTAACAGGTCTTCTCGACAAAACATTGGTCGGTGTGGGCAGCATGAAGCGACCACACACGATCTAGTTTGGGATGGTTCAAACTCTGGACCAGGTCAGCTTACGTATTCGTAAGTGTGAGGACATTCGCCACGATTAATTCAACCAGTTGCATGTTGCGGCCTCATGTCGCCGCGAACGACCACCATCCACTGCAGTCGATCAACAGCGGAACCCCAAACTAAACTGAGTCAGTTCGCACGCCCGCCGCACAAACCAACAACCTTGGGATCAGATGTGCGCTCAAGGTCAGCTTTCGACACGTCAACTCCCCCTGTTACCTTCGATGCCTCGGCCAACCTGAGTCAGGTCAGAAGATTTTGCCTTCCATTCGGCGTGGCATTTGGCCCAACGACCTGATTAAGCGAGTAATAAAGGCGCAACTGAAGCACTGCATTCCTGTTATACTGCAAAGTTATTGTTTGGAGACGAAGCCGAAAACATCGGAGAACAGAGCACGGGCATAATCAACCGAACACATCCAAACGATGGATACCTTAGGAGTGCACCGACCCTGGCTCACGTCTGTGCAAACGAACTGTCTTGACGGAGGCCTCCTCTAATCACATACTAATGTTACATCGGTCTCAGAGGTCACGTCGAAATCAGAGAAAATCCGCGTACTTATAGTAAATCGGACAGCCGGGTTCGGTCTTGCCTGACAGGCCGGAAGCTCGACTTAGGGTGGTAAAAGCTGTTCACCAACACAAACGTCCAACTGAATAATGTGCCAGGGCAGGTTATTCGAGATCCTTAACGCACGGATCCCGGTCTGTTAGGACGTCAGCGTGCTGTGCAATCAGAAGCTGAAGAACCTGGGCGTCGATGGACGCTAGAGGCGACATCGGAAAAGTCGCCTTTCTCGGCTTACATCCGGATATTGGTCCGTGTTCTGGGATAGCTGGTGTGAAGTAAACGAAGTAACATTGGTGGCATGCCAGCACGTAGTGTAGCTGATGCAGGGAATCCTGATGGACAGGATCAAAGTGAAAGTGAAAGACCATAACGCATACGAGAGTTCGTTAGGCGTAGCAGTGGCGATATTCAAGAGTTCGGAAAAACTAAAAATGACGATCGCTACATTAACGTCCTGGCCGATGGACACGCTGACTCCTATTTATCTGTGCCTCCCAGTAAATGCGGGGGCGACGGAAAAGGAGGACCGCGACACTATAAAGGGGGTATGCTCCGCAAGAGGTTTTACACAATAAGCTGTAGCCTTGCCTAAAACTGACGTAATGGTGGGGTTGCCCCAGTCTACGGACACGATCTGTTTCCAAATTTACATCAGAGGGTCATGTAACTGGTCAGCTAGTACCTTTGGACAGCGCCTGTAGAGTCCCACTGAAAGGCAACCCTCACTGAGTGTTTCGTTGTTCTTCAGTTTTGCCATCGCCTCGGCAGTTGATGAAATCCAGTCACAGCTACTCTAGGGCACCAGAGCGCTGTCAAAACAGATGCCAACAGAGGAGGCCAAGCCTACCGGGTCCGGAAGCTGGATGAAGTGATCTATCCCTAAGTGTCGTGGTCAACATGAACGTTATCACCAAACTTTGGTCGTCTCTAGCTGTTGAGGCTGAGACCTCATAGCCCTGGCACATCTTAAAAACCCCTTAAGGCCTCCTCGTACCCTTAATAACTGGATCGCACTACAAACTTTGGGTTGTTCTATTTCCGAATTCATTTCCGCCGTGCCGTGCGGAGCGTGTGGTCTCAGACTTTCAAATCTGGGCCGGCCACGCTACTGGGTAGCCCAGGTGTTATTAGCCAATTGGATATGTGCGTCAGCCGCCCTGGCAACCGCGCCCAGCACGACATTGACCAGTTACTTCAATTAGCTACCTTTTCTGAATCCAGACCTGAAAGACAAATAAAACAATGCGGGAACTCCACTAACCTGTAAAAATGCAGAGCAGGCACCATCGCACACAGAAGATGAGATTGACCAGTAGAGATACAGCAAATATCCCCATGAGTGCGAGAAGCCAGGGCGATTGGTCAAAGAGGCCTTAAAAAGGGCAAAATCAAAACACGTCATGCGAATAATGAAGCTGAATGTGCTGTGATTCCGGATTGTTCCCACTCAGTAAATAGGGCACTATGACAATAGAGGCATAAGTCATGTGGATCTTGGCTCTGCATTAAAAGGGGGTGAACCGACGGATGGCGGCCTTTGTTCGGTAGGGCACGAGAATAGGTACGCCCCTGGAAGGCCTACAAGACCACCCGGAATAGGGGGGGATACTTGTCCCCGTTGCCAACCCTTTGTCCCTGCCCGTAAAGACCATGGGGCTTACGTACTCCGGCCCAGATTATTTCTTTTTTTTCTGTCCTGGGAGTAATGTCTTTTGGAAACTGAGTGATCTCTGGCCTGCTGTCGGTGGCAACAATTTTTCTTAATCAGGAGTAACAACCGGCCAGCAGTCTGAACAGAATTTCAACTTCGTTGTCATTCGATCTCAATGTCCACCATCATCATCATCATCATCATCATCATCATCATCATCATCATCATCATCATCATCATCATCATCATCATCATCATCATCATCATCATCATCATCATCATCATCATCATCATCATCATCATCATCATCATCATCATCATCATCATCATCATCATCATCAGCATCATCATCATCATCATCATCATCATCATCATCATCATCATCATCATCATCATCATCATCATCATCATCATCATCATCGTCATTGCCATTTGCTGTATGAGAGCAAGAGTCGGCGAAGTAGATAGGGCCAATGCCTGCACCACTGCGCTGCAGTAGTTTTACCAAATGTCTCCTTGACATTTTTATTTCTGGACACTTACAGTAGGTTGCCTTACTCATGAAATGTCGTGAGATGTAATAATTCATCCTGCCTTCTGCTTTCTCTCCAACCCATCGCCTACGCTTACTGACATGCACCTATGCAAATTTTGTCACCGGGTATATTATTTATTTCCTTGCACTCGAAACGACCACTGTACTACTGCCCGTACCACTAAAACTCGAGACAATCTGTTTATCTGTACGGGCTTGACGCTTTTCCGATTATTTGTTACCTGTATGACACCTTTTCCAGTTTTTGAGATTTTTCAGTTGCTTGTAAACAAATAAGGAATTCAAAGGTGAAGACCTACATTTTCCTCAATAAAACTGAACTGAACTGCCCTCTCTAGCGCCACACTCCCATGGGTTAATCTTGTATTCCACAACGGGTAAGATGCGGTTATGTAGCCCCACCTGACGGACACAATACTGTTGGGATTGGGGTTTGGAGTTAGGGTCAGGGGGTTAGAGTTAGGGGTTAGGGTTAGAGGTTGGGGTTAGGGCAACTATTTTTCGACCAGTCAAAGTACAACCGCGCATTCCCCATAGCTTTTTTTGCATACAACTATGGAACCTATGCGTTCGCCGGCCCCACCTGTAAAACCCCCCATTACCACCGGTCACGTAGTACAGGTGGCTGGGAATTGTTTACTTCAGGTACGGCTACATAACCACGTCTGACCCCACAAAGTTCATAGCTTCCTGCTGATCAGCATCGCCGCACGTAAATAATACTTTCAAGTGATTCTTTCAACATCATCTTCTTTGGCATGCATCAATTCAGACCTGCTGAGAGTTATGCGAATTCTATCTTTGTGCATATCCCACACTATAAACAACGTGACGCGCCTAAGGCTATCAAGTTGCGCTAAAGGCCGTGGCTTGGAAGGTTGCCAACTGACGGTCTGACTCAGACCTCGCAGTCAGCCCAGTTTTGTGTGTTTGGGTGGAATGACAGACTGGTGGACGGAGTCAGGCTGCAATGACTCCTTCGTAATGTGGCCTCTACAGCACTCCCTCCCACTCAGTGGGATCCGAGCCGGCGTGGTGGCACACGTTCAGGTGCGGGTTTTCGTCGTGCCAGCCACCCGTGCCCCCCCGCTTCCGCTCCTCTTGACCCTGCCATGGCCCTGGGCCCAGGTGGGGGAGGAGGAGGAGAGGAAGGAGGAGGAGGAGGAGGAGGAGGAGAAGGAGGATGAGAAGGAGGAGGAGGAGGAGGAGGAAACAGTGTATTAGATGCTGCGCAAGTCCACTAACACTGTAAACGAATTTACACGTACGTCACCGTCCCTGCTCCCACCCTGCTGTGGAGAGCACGGTGAGCATCGTCAGAAGCGACGGTAGGCAAGTCATGCGGCCTACAAAACGTCCTGGTACTTAATGCCATGTGGGGCATTTCTATCGTCGTTTTTAGAGGTAAAAAATTGTTGCCACACATGTCTTCCCTTTAGTAAATAATTTCACATACATAACTGACACTGAACAAGTGATTTATTCAATTACAGGACATTACCTGTTAAGATCAGTATCAGGCAGTTTCTCGACAAGGCAATAGAGTACTGGTTGCATAGGTCGGTTGGACCGTACTGGGACGAAACTGTTGTATGGATGAGGCTGTTGAAGTGGGTTATTCGTGGCTGGATCCCATTCAGCGCCTGAGTAGTTTCCGTCCACTTCCCCTATTTAGGATGTCCATTGATGTGCTTCAAGAGTTGCCACCGACCGTCCTCTGGCTTTTCCTGAATTCCGTCAGCTTACTGTCCGGCCTGCTGCCCCACCCGTAACTCCCCTCCCCCCTTACCAATTATCCCCATTCCCGTATGAGACTGTCCATAGTATACCGACAGCTAATTGGGGTCCTTCACCCTACCGTTGCCACTGCTTCCCCGCAAGGCCTCTCCTGACGTCGCATCTGGCAGAAGACGATGCTCAAAACTGAGCTAATAGCAGAGGGGAGAGACAACAGACAGTGTGCTAACAGCTTCTCCGGCGACGAGTAGTTGAATTCTTCCAGTGAAGGACCCCAATTAGCTGGCAGTATACTACGGATAATCTCATACGGGAATGGTGGTAATTGGGGAGAGGGGGGGGATTACGGGTGGGTCAGCAGGCAGGACCGTAAGCTGACGGAATGCAGGAAAACACAGAAGACGGTCGGTGGCAATTCTTGAAGCACATCGAGGGACATCCACGAGTAACCGACTTCAACAGCTTAATCCGTACAACAGTTTCGTCCCAGTATGGTCCAGCCGACCTGTGCAAACCGTACTCTATTGCCTTGTCGAGAAACTGTCTGGGAAACTGTCGAGGATCTGTCTGCTAACAGCTTCTCCGGCGACGAGTAGTTGAATTCTTCCAGTCTTACTCGCCGGTCTAGAGTATGTTTCATAAGGCTGAGCTAACTTGATGCATAAACACGAAAAGTTAAGGGATTTTAGGGTTTCTCGTAGGCGGGTATTCCCCATCTTTACATAAATGTCAGAGTCCTACAAATCACTACTCATCACCAATGGCGAGATCTTTCCGCTATGCCATTTCCGCTCTAGATCATTCACGATGTGGTTTGTTGACTTTTACGTTGTAGGCTGTGCAATACCTCGGGCGTAATTGTACGTGAAGGGAGCATCGGATAACCAGACCACCGTTTAATTAGTTAGGTCGCCAACTAACGCCAAGTATTGAGGTGCCAAACCAGTCCCTTTACGTTATCGTGAAATCCTCCCTGCTTATCAGGGCTACTATTTAGCCCACGTTGACTAATGGGGGTTCCGGATCGAAAGCAGGGAAGGTGGACTGTGTGTATATAACCTGCGATTTTGGGTGACAAGGATACGGTCTGCCGGCCCGATGTTTGGCCAAATAGTCTAAGCAAGCTTGTAGCCGACTTGGCAACGCACGAGGCCAAGTGAGCGGGCTGATGGTGACAAGCGTCATTTCTTGGGACAGCCTGTCGCCTGAAAACGCTTAAAACAGGGATGGAGTGTACTGCGGTGGATGTTTCTGGGGCAGGCGGGGGGGTGGAAAGAACAGTAGCTTTTGTGCCTAGGCGTGACTTAGTGTTCGATGATTGGCAGAGGTCGGTTTTGACCTGTCTGGTCGTACATTCATGCCACTCGCCGGAACACAATCAAGATGACAAGAAAAGTCTTAGCACTACCTGACAAAACTGTCCTGCTCGGTCAAGAGACCAACATCTCCGCAGTAGTCATAGCCTGCTGGCGGCGAAGTCGAATATGTCAAAGTTTATAATTTCACTTGTGATGCGACGTCAGGACAAACCGCGAGGGGAATTGAAAATTCTCGAAATACATTAAGGAACATCCTAGACGGGGAAATGGGGGAGTAGCACCTCTGCCGTTGAATGAAGCCCTGCCAGTGAATCCTTATCATAATCCCGGATAATTTTGGTTGATCCGCTTAACGTGCCCAAACATGCTGTCTCAATGCGTACCAAACAGCTGTAGTCCTCTTTATCGACATTTTTGTCTAACAAAGGTGTAAAAGCGGGTTATTTCGGAAATTAGCTCCCATCAGCTAGGCAGCTACTCGAATCATTCGGATGCCGAAAGCAGAACGTTGTCAAAATGCATCTTTAGTGTTGCGGTGCTTGGGCAAATTTGGCACCTGCGAAACGAACGGCAAGAATTTATGGGAACAGTAAACAGAGTTCTCTAAAATCCAATTTTCCATCCTGATTTCATGTCAGTCCCCCTTGTTTCGGAAGCACCAAAACATGTCACAGACATTGATATCTTGGGCAACTAGTCATTCGATTCCGAAATGGCACCAGGCTTGCTGTGGGCTACGGGATCGAAAAATTGCATTTATCATAATGGAGGCCAAAGATAATAATCTGACTAACGATTTAGGTCATACTAACTCACCTATAAAGGCACTGTGCAGTGGAGTGGGAGTGGAAGAGGGAACGGTCAGGCTGAGATCTTGTCGTCCAACCTCTGATGATGGCACCGGCGAGCCATTAGTCGGCAGAAGCGGCGGTGGTGGTGGTGGTGGCGGTGGCGGTGGCTGAGGTTTCTCCTCGGCGTCAACGTTGGTCGGCTCATACGCCAGACTCACCTAGTGGTTGAGGCCATGCCGAGGGAAGTGAACTTAGGGGTTAGGCAGAAAACAGAGGGACGAGGCGGGATGACGACATGTGGGTGGGATAAAGGATGTTCCCGGTTTCCTGAGAAGATTTCGAGTCGATCGTTGTGAGATGAACTTTATTTACCTTAGCTTTGATTTCTAACTCAAACCCGGCATCGGACACAGGAACAAAGGGGAGAGAAAGAACGTGATAAAGAGGCCCATGAGCTGTAGCTTCACGGGCATGCAGGGAGGGGGCCGGTTGTGTTCGCTGGGCACCGACTGCTTCTCGCGGAAGTCCGTGTCTATTGGATTACTGGCCCAGCTCACCAGATGCAAGTGGTCGGTCATCGAATGTTGATCGGTGGTACCTGTCAATTTGTCTGACGATGACTTCGCAGTCCTGCTCCTCGGTACAATCCCTCGAATTTTACATTTCTAAAGAGATCGAATCTTCTTTCCTGCTGCTGTTCGCGCGCATCTGAAATTTAGTTCTTTTTCACTGGCAGCACTTGCTCACCAAGTTAAAGTAGAGGCAGGGCCGATTGCATACTGGAGCCAATGAGGAGTTTGGGTGAATCCAGGAAGGTATATCAGGAGCTTATAATAAGGCCCACTTAAAAGCTAGCGGTATAACGTCTCTAGTTTCAGCAGTGTCGGTACCTGTGTCCTCTAATCTCCGGCGCACACTTAAGTGGGCCTTACCTCTGATTGTCCACACTACTCTGAGATTTCGAGCTCAGGTGGTGTATGATCTCAACAGTCAAGCCAATCTCTCTATCTGGGGCTTTAGCATATGACTTCGGGTTTTTCTGGGCACAGATCCACAAAGCCGACTCTACTGCCAGCCACGCTGAGTAAGACATTGAAAAAGGAGCTCACTGGTAATAAATGTAACCCTACGTTAAATTCCAGAAAGGGTACCTATTCCCGTGTCAAAACCTTAGCGACAACCCTATTCCTTATCTCCCTGGAATTTGACGCAAAGCCATCTGCGTTACCGGGGCGTCCCTATTTTCGTGTTCTAACCCATACTGTTTGTCGGATAGTAGAGAAAGTCCTTGAACATCCCGCTTTTCAAACAATAATTGCAGTATGAAATGTTTTAGATGGATAGAAAGAGCACAATAAATTTGGAGAGAAGGGCAAGAAAGAAGAAAATAAATGACCCAAGAGCAGTAAAGTGCCTGAGGCAAACCAGCAGAAACCAGAGGCTGCACAAACTGGCGTTGTAGGTTCGTTTATGTGTTCCTTAAATATCCATGCCCCAAAAATCACCTGCAACCGACAATGCAAACATGCGTGGACGTTCTGCGCCAACGCTCCACAGATGAGGCCTCGCCCCCGTCTTTTACAGTCCCTCCTTATTTTATATTCGTTCGCCCTCTTTTTGATTCAGTAGTCGATCCAGATACTTAACTTGGGATTTAGAGTGTGACTGAGCCGAAAGCCGGACGGACTGTTGTGTGCCAACTCCTATGTGGAGGCCTGCTTATCATCTCAAGCAGATGGATCGAGTTGAAGTTAGCCAATGCATGCCTGATTCACCTGTATACTAGAGAGACCTGAATAGAGACGATGAAAGTCCGGTGCTGCATCCGCCCATATATATATATATAGGCAGAATGCTATTACCGACAAAGACAAGGGAGACTGGAATGGCCATTTCTGGCTTATTAGCCGTCGTCAGCCAGCCATACCCAAGCCCGAAGTGTAGAACACCCGAGCCTCGAACTCGCGACCTGTTGGTTTAGAAGTCCACGTCTCTACCCACCGGGCCACGAGCCCGTTGCCTTGTCGGTTTTCGATCACCGATCGATCGGTGAGCGCCCCCTACCACTATATATATGCTTAATAATACTTCTAGTCAGAGGAGCTGACTGGACACCAGTTCTACAGGTGGCCTCGTGCTAGCCTACAGGGTACCACCTCGTACCGTGTCCCAAATTTGACACTTATCCGTCCTGGCCCTCCTAACCCTAGCCCTAACCCCCACACCCTCTGGAATTTATCCAAGGTCACCTGTAATACGAAAGGTAGTTATCCCGATGTCACACCGACGACTTCACACCGACACTTCATTGGAATTACATCCGCCGTTTTGACATGGCCACTGCTCGTAAAACCTCTGCTTGACTGGCCAAAACTCGAAAACCTCTCCTGTCGTCATACCTCTGTGTCGCACAAATCCTTTGTGTTGTCCCGCCTCCTATGCCATATTGATTCAAAACCGGATACGTAGAAGTCCGATCGCCACATACTAATTTAGAAAGGCATGCAATTTCTTGGCAAAAAAACAATAAATTGAGAAGCTGTACAGGAATGTTTTGAAAGCTCAGACTGTTTTCCTTTAGGAGTATTAAACTGCAACTCTTTGTACTCCAGCCTCTAGCACTTTGTTGACATTGCATGCTGTCCTTTGCTGCGAATAAGTGAGGATCTTTCGTTAAAGATGTGGGTAAGGTTCAAACATCGAGGGAGGAATTTGTTCTTCCTTCCCCCCTCCTCCCCTCTAACCACAAAGATAGCAAAGAAATACAGGGGCATCGAAGACGATGTGTTTGATGGAAGTTATTTCCAACTGCAGGCCGTTCAATGCCTTCATAATATCTACAGACACTTTCAGGCTTCGTTTTAGATAAGACTGTCATCACCCACCTAGGAATTCCCACCCAGGTCTCCAATCTCGGGAACAAACGAAATCACAAATCGATATCTTGGCCCATCCTTAATCCTGAATTAAGCCTTATTCAGAGCCTAAATATAATACCTGACGCTAGCCCAAAACCTAGGCCTTATCCTCGCCCTACGGCTAGCCCTACACCCAACGCGTGACTTGACATAAAACGTGATCAATTTATAAGGGAACTGACGGCAAGTACATCTCACTGCACCCTGTTTTGCAAACATGCGAACCTTGCACTTGGCACTTTCTCATACCGCTCACCGACCGTTAATATGATGAGCGAGAATTAAGAGTTTTAAATCCTGATGACTTGTCCCCAAAGTCTCTGTCCTTCATAAAAAAACCCGTAAGCTCCGTTGAGGGGCGGTCGATTTAACTCAAGTTTCCATAAGTTCGTCGAACAGATTGTTCTCCTTAATCGAACGAGTGGACATTTTATGGAAAGTATTTCGCACAACAGGCAGGGAGGAGCAACAGCTCTTTAATGTCCACATAAATTAATACGCCAACTTGAAGCAAATCCCTCAAGTCAAATATTTTAAGGCTCGCTCCGAAATTTGATACGGATGCTTTTCCTAAAATCTATCAGCTCCAGTGGGGCAATCATGTAATATTCACAAGCTGCTGAAGCTCATATATTTCAGCTCAAGTATGCATATCAACTTTCGGAGCAGGCTTTAAGCGATTTGTCTGAGGCATTTGCTACAAGTTAGCTCAGTACATTCTGAGGGAACTTTGACAAACCGGAGTGTATGCGAGAAAACATACGGGGCACGCCATGGGGACCCACCGATAAGCCGAACTCCTCATAGTTACGTAATGAAACAGCATGGAATCGTGAAAACACCTGTCCGGACTTCTAACTAATACTTGTGCTATCAGTATAATGAATCATACAGCATGGTGTAAGCAGCAAGAATAACATCAAACAGGCCCACTTGGGATGCACAAAACCTTCAAATTACGTAGTTGATTTTTACTAGCACAGACACCTTGGGAGATCATGCTGTCCCCTTTACTATTTTTGGGCAAATTTACGAGAACTATCGTCAGCCCAACCACTAATCGCGGTTTAAATTACCAATAAAAAGATGCATGAGACGATATTCCGCCACCGACGTGTTAGGCATCACTAAATTAACTAGGCTGGTGAAGAGTAATCAGCTCATTTTGACGGCCGGGACGTGAATATAACTTATTTTCTTCTCCGAGTCACAACTTTTCTAGTTCTTATCTTAGCTTTTTGTAAAAAGGTTTTCGCTGAGGCTTCACTCCGTCATTTAAACTCCGTTCCCCCAGGGACCTTTTGAATTCTCTGGTGTGCGGTTTGAACTTTGTCCTTGCGCGTGCTACATATGATACCGTGCGACCAGACATCATGAAACCAAACTTTATTTAGAGACTTCCTGGCTTAGAGGATATTTCGAACTCTGATACTGCAGAAGTGGCCAACTAAAAGTTCGCTGTTGACTTTGTTTTTCGGCCGCACGTTTTTTTCATCTACGCGATAAAATTATTTGTTCATGAAGACTAGGGGGTCCCCTTTTACCCTCCATATAAAGGCTTACGAAGAAATTCTTGGAAATGAGGAAGCACACGCTGCGTACTCTAAATATCCTCTGGGAGGCCTAACACACCCCAAACCCAGGACTAGGAGATAAGCGTCAGCTTATTATTATTATTTTCATCGTCAGTGACGATCAATAACTAGGATCAATTTTGCCAGATTTGGAAGAAATTTGTGGCGAATACTTGTGCCAACTACAGTAGATGTGCTAACTCATGAAATGTCAACCAAAATTTCGAAATGCGTCCCCCTTTCGAAAAGATAAATTAAGTGGTGTTGTAAAACTAATCATCATGCAGCATAAATCTATAATGATCCAGTTATCTCAGGGTGTCGGCTTTCGAAAGAACTTATTTTCTGCTGCATGCAAGATCTATACTCTGAAAAAAATGACCACTTAATTAGTATGCAATTTTCTCATTGATTTTTGATGCCCTTGAAAATTCAATTATATTTCATAGAAAACATGCATAAAAATATTCATTCTTTTACTTATTCGGTCGAAAATCACGTCTTCTTTCAATTTCATACTCAAAAGAAGAGTATAATTCGGTTTTAAAAAAAGTTTCTAATTGTGAGATTTTTTAATACCATTAAATGGCCGTTCATGAAACGTCATGTATCTGCATTTACGAATGTGGCTTGTAAAGTTAACAATATTGCATGCATTTCTCTACGGTGTTAAGAGGAGACCATATGAGGTTCATAAAATTAAGCAGTGGATTTGAGCAATATTGTTACCTTTACAAGCCACATTCGTAAATGCAGATACACGCCGCTACATGAACGGCCATTTAACGGAATTAAAAAATCTCACAATTAGGAACTTTTTACAACCGAATTATACTCTTCTTTTGAGTATGAAATTGAAAGAAGACGTGATTTGCTACCGAATAAGTAAAAGAATGAATAATTTTATGCATGTCTTCCATGAAATATAATTGAATTTTCAAGGGCATCGAAAATCAATTAGAAAATTGCATGCAACTTAAGTAGTCATTTTTTGCAGAGTATAGATCTTGCATGCAGCGGAAAATAAGTTCTTTCGGAAGCCGACACCCTGAGCTAACTGGATCATTATAGATTTATGCTGCATCATGATTAGTTTTACAACGCTACTTAATTTATCTTTTCGAAAGGGGGACGCATTTCGAAATTTTGGTTGACATTTCATGAGTTAGCACATCTACTGTAATAGACAAGCGACCGCTACTTGAAGTCCGTAGACATCAGTCAATCTTAGTAACGCAAAAATGAGAGGAGAACCAACGACTTGCCTCAACACTCCCACTTTTTTCAGATCTGTGTATGCACTGCCACGTGCCAGGAACCCGGGGGTCTCTTTTGTCAATATGGTAGATCGTGGATTTAGTCCCATCTGCGTGAAATTTTTCGGTGCAATTGATGCTGCGTCCGTCTGGTACGCAGGCCTCGTCGGTGTCTTTTTGGCAGGGGGTAATGGGTGCACAGTTTTCATAACAGTACGACAAAGCGGCCGAGTCCTTTCCCTCGCGCCTTTGCGGACCACTGCGAACGGGACAATCGAGGAAAATACTGGAGCTGGAGTTTGCCACCGTTGTGCTGCAGGTGATCACGATCAGGAAGCCATCTTGTTTGCTGCGCATGCTTGGCGCCTCACGACGGAGGCGGAGGAGGACGCGATTGCCAGTAGTCAGGTGACGCCCGGATGGTCGATCAAGCCAACTGAGGTCATGACCTTGACATTCAGGCGAGAGCCAGTGAGCGGCAATGAGGCCTAAAAAAGCAAACAGGAGGGAGTGAGACCTAGGCAACGGGGAATGAATCGACGGAGGACGATAGAGCCCTGTGAGTCCACCTAACTTCAACATTCCTTTAGTTCAGTCAAGGGAATTTTGGTTTCATTTGCTAGTCAAAATTCAAACGGAACCAGGTGATAACAAAAACTGGGCATATGCACCACCACGGGGCATCTAGTGTTCTTGCAACTTGTCCAGGCTAGATCGCAGTTGGTAGCCAGGAATGGAGAAGCGGACGGCGAACTTAACTCCTATCTTAACCTTAACTCTAACCCTAACCTCAACCTTAAACGTTAACCGTTAACCTTAACAGCAACCCTAACCCTAACCGAAATCGTAAACGTAACCGTAGGCCTTAGACAAAGCCGTAACTGGAAAACCTAACCGTAATACTGAAACCTAGTCGCACGCTCAAACCCTAACCGTAACCCGAAAACCTAAGCCTAAGGGAATAACCCTAACCCGAGAATCGGAAACCATTAACCGGTACCCTAATCCTAACCTCAGACGTAACTCGGAAGCCAAATGGGTCAGATGTGATTATGGGGCCTCACAAAATAGCCCCTGCAAACAAACCCCCCAGCCACCTGTAATACGGGGCCTGGCTATCAATTGCGATCTAGCCCTTGTCCAACCATGAAGCCGCCTGAAAACTGGTAATGCTTGCAATAGTAGGCCGACACTGTTTAAAAATGCCGTTTAGAATAACATGTTGAGGACAGTTACCCTCTGGGGGGGGGGGGGTGACGCCCCTAAAAACCCTTAGTAATGTTCACTCTATCAGTTGGGAATGAGGATGTGCAGTTACACGAAAATAGGGGACCTAGATCTCGCCTGATTGCAGGTCGTAGAACGTCAGCTATGTTTAGGTTCGGGATGCACAGACTGTCGCATAGCGTTTAACAATAACTTAAAGTTATTCTCGGTTGGAATGGCATTTGAAAAGACTACTTTTGTATACTTGCAAGCCACAGTGAGCTGCTGACGGTGTGTATTAAGTGCACCCGTTGCCAGCGATGAGGAAAACCGTTGTCTTGGAGTGGATACAATGGTGGCTTGTGTAAGAGTTTGTTTAAGTTAAACGTGTGCGACATTAATTCCGCCCCGCCCCGCTCCCTCCCTCTCCCCACCGCGCTCCAATGACAGGAACAAGTCATCAAGACTGGATATGGACGTGGGCATAGGTAGGCAGGTCCTCTGCGCGTACCACACACGAACTGACTATTTCCTCCGCATGCACCAGATTTCAGTGGTGGGGGGGGGGGAGGCTCAGCATGCACAAATGCAAGTGCATGTGATTAAATTGGCCCGTTTGACGTCATTAAGTGTAGGTACAGTGTAGGTAGACAAGACGAATTAAACGGCGGTCGGCTGGAACTCCTGGCAATCCCTATCCAGTCAGGCCACAAGAGATTCGGGGTGGCTAACTGTATTAACGACGTTGTTTTGCAGACACCCAGCTCTTTTTTGTCCATCTTGTGACAATGGAAACATCACAGTAAGAGAATCGCTTGAACAAATGCTCAGCAGGAGTCTTCACGACGTAGTCGATTCGTCGCATAGAAGCGTTGTCAGGTAAACAGTCCAGAACAGTCCAAGTTTTGTTTTAATGAGGGTGTCGTTGCGGTTTCAGAGTGAATATTGGAAACTGCTGAGAGTCTTGCTGGTTTTGAGGATTCTACCCGCACTTTAACCGTATATTTTTATATTGCCTAAGACGGTGCTTGGTAGGCACGCAGACTGCGATATAACAGCAAAATGGTCTACTGGCGTCACATAGGACAAAAACGTCACACGGCTCCGTTCGAGACTTTCATTCAGAAAACGACAGTTTCATTAATTGAAGTGCTCACGAGGGACCTCAATTTCCACGTCACATAATTTCAACTCGTCCAGGTAGTTGTGTGCCACAGACCTGATTAGTACCCAACATCTGTGTTGGCCGGATCGAAGCAAACTAAGCACGTACTCTACCTTTTCCGACCAAAAACAAAACCGAGACGACATCACGCGAGTAGTCAGTCAAGCCAACTGCATAACCACTGAAGAGGCCAGTAGGAAAGAAACGGTGCTAAAACTAGCGCCTGTGCCATTGCGTTGCCATGGCGAGTAATGCTTAAGAGACACGACGCACCCGCGCTGTGAGGTCTTTAGGCGGTTCGAATGAGCACCGTCGGCTAGAAAGCACGCTATGGGTAGGTAAATCGAGCTGGCTGCATGCATAGTATGACCCCTTTGACAGACTCGCGGTTCGGTCTCGAGTTTCTAGCCCTATCTCCCCTGCCTATGGTTGCGCACCTGGTGTCGACACATGGGTAGAGGGATAATGTATGATGTGTGTGGGTGCCCGGGGGGGGGGGCTGTGCGGACGCTAGGAAACCACATGAAAGGCATTTTTTACATGCTGTCGCGCGCACAGGGAAGGTAACTGGTGGCAAAGGGTGGTATTTTACGCAAACAGGCGCATTTCATGTCACATACCAATTGGCGCCCACTCGAATACTGGGCATGCACTGTAGGTTCAGGCAGCTCTAGGGAGGACGGATAAAAGGGCATCGCGTTTTGGTGTCGCTGCTTGCAGTTGATCATTATCTCATCTTGAATTTCTCCAGTTAGAACGGTTACAAACAAAACAGCCAAAATAACAGCATTTTGCCATTCGGTGGAACTTCGGAAGTTTATGTAGAGGCGGTTATGGCTACCGAAGGACTGTCGCCGCGTTACGTAGCTTCCTCTATAACTTTAAAGCTTGTCGTTGCATGCTTGTTAGACTCAGTGCAATTTGTCCCCTTTCCGGGTGAAATTCACACAAAACAGGTTTTTTTTAGCAGCAACTTTTAAAAGCAGAAACGAAATAAGGAGAACAGCAACACGACATGGCAGCCTAATCCACGAAAAACATCACTTTTTACGCACTTAGCTAAAAGTCGCTCAGTTGGTTGTAGGTTTTCCGGAAAACCTGCGCTAATACTGAATTTTCGGACCGGATATTTACAGATTTCAGTACTCTCAGCGTTAGACCACTGCTGCATGCATCTTGACTCCAAACACAGATTTCTGGCTCGCTGAAGCAAAAAAACGACAGCGTAAATCAATTGAGTCCAGTACGCGGGCCGACCATTGTTGAGTTGCGAACTGCCACAGTATTCTAGTGGTCAAAAAATCCGACGGGGAATGGGAGTGTGGGAGCTTGACTTCAAGATGCCGCTCAAATGTTTGATCACCACTGAAGTTGCGCGGACATATTTGTTTCTACTGTCTTTATTGGGGGACAGCATGTGACAGGGCCGTCCTGGTAGCGTAGTCGTGGGTGGTGCGTGAACTTATTTATTGCAAGGGAGACTTTTATAGCACTTCCACTTGCCATTCCGGTCCCCTTCCAGTGGCAGAACAACGCCAAGAGGGGGGTGGAATTGAACGTGGGTGCAGTGGCTGAAGCCATATCTCGTCGGGCCCCACCTGAAGAGGGGTCTAGAACGTCTCCCAGAAAAGAAAAACTGCCCTACAGATCACATTAAAGGGGAGCTATCTTAGCCTAAATCGCAGTTTGTAGGAAGATGGAATTATAGCGCCAGTTTACCGCCTTCCAGAACATGACATTTAGCATTCCTGGCTACTTTAAACAGACTGAGGGAAAAAACAGCGAGTCATTGTTGTTGTCAGTATAGCCCCTCTGAAACACAATATTTCCTGAAACGTCTCTAATCTCATTGTTGATGGAGGTGAAACCCTCAGTTTTGATCTCATTGGGGGAGTTAATTTAAAGATTGCACTCTTCTGATAAATAATAATGTAGGGCCCAGTTGGTGGCCAGAGATGCTTAACGGGATGTCAGACAAGTGGAAGTTTCCAAGTTGGGCGGTTCCGCGTACGCTGATATCCAACTTCGGTTGGGTACGAGACTATGAAGCCCCCACATTAAAGGTGACCTGGCTCTTGATTCCAGGGGAAGGTTAGTGTTACGGTTGTTGACAGGAGGGTTAGGGTAAGAGTCAGGGTAAGTCCTAGGGTTTGGATTAAAGCCAGGACACGGGAATAGGAACCTCTGTAATTCTGCTCCAGGCCACCTGCAGTAATGGAGGGGGTCCATATTCTTGTGTTCGACCCCAACTCCTGACAAGCAACACTTCGTGAAGACAGAATCCTGGCGGTAAACAGTTTACTCATTTCGCCGATGTCAGCTGCCACACAGTGATTAATTCAGTAACACCTAAGGTTTTTTTGGTTCGGCCCAGGCTTATACCCCGGCTCCCTCGTCAGACGACGTCTATAGGGGAGCTTTTCCAACCCCGCTCCTCTCGCGCGCGCGCTCTCTCTCTCTTAAGTGCTAACCGCAAATTACCACTGAGGAAATATTTTCATAATTGCTCATGCTATAAACTTTCTACAGCGGTTTACTGTGTGCAGGTAGCCACTTAAAATAGGGACAATGGTATGGCTTATCACGCTCTGGCATGAAGCTTCGTCCCCTCCTCGTTTGTGAGCCATATCTCCAACCCTCACAAGGCAATTTTCCGCAGAGGTCCTAGTCCAGGCTACAAACGACACGTTCCTCGATCTAGTCTTTTAGCTTCCACAGCTCCGTCTATCTTGTTTGGAGCGTCAGACTGGTATTTTAAAGCCGAAGTCGGTAATACCATTCTTCCTATGTCATGCGCCCCTATGCGGCTATTAGTTGGGCTCGAGAGAGAGAGCCCTAAGGCAGAACGGGACGAGTGAGTTCCGTAAAAACGATCGGTGTAAATCCCTCTACCATTGAATATACCCGATTGCAACCGACAGGGCAAAAGACTCGTGGCCCAGTGGTTAGAGGCGTGGACTTCTAACTAACAGGTTGCGGGATTGAGCCCCAGGTGTTCCACACTTCGGGGTTGGGTATGACTGGCTGACGACGGCCAATAAGCTAGAAATGGCCGTTCCAGTCTCCCTTGTCTTTTTCGGTATGACCATTCTGGTATTTAAAAACTAAAGTAAACAGACAAGAAGGCAGGGCGACTAAGACGACAGCTGGTTTCGACCTGTCCACTCCCTTTTCAAGTAAGCGCACCACTGACCAACATCTACGAACCGAAACACAAAAAGGTGCGTTCACCTTGTGCAGATGTTCTACAAACGAACTTTAGCTAGGGGGTCATCGGTATCGCAGCAACAGAAGTTACTCAATGCCTCGCTGTCTGCCAAAGTCTGTCAGGGTGGATTGTAGAGATATGGTAGACTGTTAGGCGCATGAATAAGTCCTGAAAACAACTTTAATCTCAGTTCCTTGTGTCTTCGACGGTGTAGCCCAGTTCCCGTCTGATTACTCGCCTCTGGCTCTGGTAAGTCTCGTCTGTTTTTGACATCTATCGCGCTCTTCGGGTCTTCTGTGGCCTAGGAGGCCAAACGAAGAAGATTGAGTCTAGTCCTGCTTCATATTCAAATTTCGGTCTTTCCACGGCTGCGGCTAGGATAGAGTTAGCTGAGGACAACGAACCAATCAAGATTAGGCCCTCTAGATTTCTTTCCTTTGGAGGTCCCTCCCTGGAAGTGCCAAGCAAGAGGCAAAGTTTCGTTGTATATCCGGCGACCCCCTCGACTGCCACACTGTCCACATTTTAAAGACCGAACTTTTCTTAAAAACTTTATTAGTGTTGACCTGTTTGCGCGATTTCCCCGAAAAGGGTGCAGTTGTCGATTGCTTGGCTGTTCATAGCTAGTGCTGAAAGGAAAACTCGGTGACCTGACTACAACATTTTCACGCTCCCAAAGTAGTGCATTCTAAGAGTGTTCATAGTAGACAGGTCGATTGAAGCATAGTCTGCCACTTAGCATGCAATTATTGCACCCGAAACTAGAAGCGATTTTAATCAAATCCGAAAGGTAAGGACTTCGATGACAGCTAACTTGGCTCACTTCTACTTAGTCTTGGAAATGTGGAGGAGAATTTGTCATTACAATCATAGAATGCAGACAATGACAAAAAACTACCGGTCGCGAAGTATCGACCAGAGCAAACTTTTGGTGGAAGCAGTTCGTGTTCAGAACAAAAGTAGGCAGTGAAGGGCATGGGGGAACGAGGTCTCAATGTCACCAAGGGCTATGAGTGCTTGTAAGACCCCTAATAGAAGACTTTCCACTGAATGGTCGTTCAGCTAAGAACCTCCCATTTCATTGTGCGTGAACCAGAGCGACCATTTTGTCCTTGAGGCTACAGGTGACAAGGAAGGAACTGCAAGTAATTCTCCCCATCTACTTACTTGCCTGATAAACAGACCCAAAACTAGGCTTTCTGTTGGCCATTAAAAAATGTCTTAATTCAGACCAAATTATTTGATTTCAAAAGTGCTCAGCCATAAGGGCTCGGAGTCTGAAGCTCGGGTCCGCAGTCAGAACGACAGAGAGTGCTTCCGTTTGACTTCAATGGGAATTAGCAGTTGTCCTCGTGATGATCACGTCCCCGCAGGGTACAAAGTCGAAACTGGAGACCGCTCAAAAGGGCCCTCGTCGTCCAGTAATTTCGATAAGAGTAGGACAAGGCGTGGTTTTTGAAACTCTCTGGGTTCAAATTAAACGAGATGTTGTACGCATCGTACAGAAGAGAACGGAGTCCTCCCACGTAGATTCAAATCAGTAATTTGACAGATAACATGCAGCAGAGCCAAAAAATAAAGATTTTGATCAGGTAAGAATGATTGAGCAATCCCGAAACAGAAAGATGTACTAGAATATCAAATCGTGCTGGATGACCATGGCTGATAAAGCAACCAGAAATATAAGTGGATTCAATAGAACGACTCTAACTCTGAGCTTCCACTCAGTCGACAGCCGCCCTGACGATTAGGCAGATCGAAAGTTGCAGATATGTAGGTAGCAAGACTTACCAAGGAGGAGGTAGGTCCTTAGCACTGATAGTCGAGGAGGCATGGGCGGAGTTCATATAGCTGTCAGCACACGTTCAGTGTCATGGCATCAAGGGACGTTAGGAAGGGAGCACCCACGGTAAGGGTCGTCGCTAGGACAGTGGAGAGGGTCAGCTGCATGTGAGTGTGTGTGTATAGCGAAAATGATGGCCCTCCAAGGGCACAACTAAGCCCACTGTCCCGAGCGCACGGCTTCAAAAGCTGTGAGTGCTGCAGAACGCGCCCTTAGTTTGCTTGCGTCGGCTTGCGGTGTGGGCCGGCTGCCGCAGCAACAACAGCAGCAACCAGTAAGTGCTTTTTTATTGGCTCAAAACGGCAACCGAGTGTCTGTGTGCGAGTGCGTTATGTAAGAATTGGGTGCATGCTCAGCCTCCCTCTCATGCGCACCCCCGTCTCCCCCTTCCCGAGGTCGATTGTATTTAGTCTGCACCTTGAGGCAGGCCATGCGCTGACTAGCCGACTGGGGGGGGGGGGAGGGAGGCGCTGAGTCATCGTCCTGCTGGTGGCGCGCGGGGCGCCACACGCACCTGCTGGCACACCTGCATTGGCTGTGCGCGCAAGACGCAGCAACAGCTGACACGCTCGAGGCTGACGCGTGCAGGTGCGCTCGCTCACGCGCTGGCAGCATTCACAAACGCGTACTCAACGGTGTGCAACTGAAAGCGCCGATTAACCGCTCCCCCGGCGGGCGCGAGGGCACATACGACAGAGGGCCTTGGCCGTCAGCCCGTGGTTTCGGTTTGGCGTGGGATGGGGGAGTACCACCGACAAAGGCGGGGGAGACTGATATCGCTACCGTCGAATTATTTACCGTGGTCAGATTGTAAATCCCAAACGCCATGCCAGAAGTACTCCAGTTCTCTGGTAATGGAGGGTCAACTCAAACGCTTTATGGTGAAACGGGATCCCGTTTCATCATGACGTACTCCATCACCACGAGTTCAGGAGATGCAAGCACCCCATCAGGGGAGGCCGAAAAGTCCCGAAGATGGCAGTTGTCTCGCTAGGGGAGAATCGTGCCATAAGGAATCCCCCATCACAATCAGACTCAGCTTATGGCGACACACAGACAGTGCTGAAGTGAGACCCCTATGTTCGCATTTTCAAACACTCTTTCAAGTAGTTATTATATGACGAATTTCAAGCGGATGGTCTTGAGCATATTAGCTACATGCGTGGTGCTCTTAACCACATAAAAAGGGAAAATATTATTTGCCCCGCCTGCTTATTTGAATGCATTGAAAAGGCACATTGTAGGAAAATAGTTCAGGAGAAATACCCATATCCGCCCTTTGTCGGGATGTGGGCCAAAAGCGTCGATATCTGTAGCATACGTCACAGTCCCGTCGTTTGGTTCGCACTGAGTTGTACACACCGTAAAAAACGATCTTATGAATTCGAAAATAAAACCTTCCTCAGTTATTCTATACACCTCCCTGAGTTGCAATCTTCAGAACTGGCTCTGGTCGAGGTCTCCTGCGGCCTGTTTGCAATTACCATGCATACGAAGACATGTGTCTTTGAGAACAGACCATGCATAGTCTTCCTTGTTAAGACTCGGTTGTGCAAGTAAGTGTACCCACTTGACGGTTTTTCAGTCGAGCGCACTGAATACGAGATACCGTTATCAGCACAGGCAACGGTCAGGATACTGTTAGATAACTTCTTCGAGATGCAGACAATGGCTACGTAAATAGCAGAGTGCGATAGTCTCGTGCAGAAGGACTCTGTGGGCCTGAGTGGGGACTGAGGGAAGTTCGTTGAGTCGTGAATATCCAAACAGTGACTGTCTCTTTGCTGTGTTGCGCCCCCCTGGAAAAAGTGACCCTTAGGTGCGAGCTGAGGCTCACCTCGTGACGGTGATCACTACTAGGTCGACAGACTGAACCACATGACCCGCACTACCTGTGACTATGCAAGTTACTTGAGGCAGGCAACGGTGATGCGACACCCTCGGGGCTAGTTAGCCTACTGACAGGTCGACACACCTGAAGACTGAAGGTAGTTTATCGAAGATTACGTCCGCTTCCCAGCTTTGAGGGACCAAGGCGAAGAAGACAGCTTCCAGCAGCCGTACAGGCTTACTGTGTGACTGAGACTAAGCCTGAGTTCATCGGCAATAGACTTGGGTTAGGGAGATTAGCCAGTGAGGTGCGCCATCATTCCTGCTTCTTTTTCAAAAGGTGTTGCGATCCACCAAGTCTAACACCAAAAACCAAGATTACTTCGATGTGTAAAAAGGTAACCGAAGTGGCACAACCCCGCGCAGAGACCCTGCGGAATCAGCAGTTCCGGATTCTAATACCACCTGGAGTTTTTTTCATGACAGCCCCAAATGGCATCACTAAGTTAATTTTAAGAAAAGCTCTGATTCGCGCCCCTTCTAATACACCGGCAGGCAGGGACCGGACTCCAGCCCTTATTCCTGCGATCCTGTGGAATTATCCGCGTTAAGGCCCTTCCACCGGCCTTGCAAGCGTTTCAACTGACGACCCTGCACTCCCCTTGTTGCCGATGGGGTGAGGCCCTGCAAGTGAAGGTTATCAGTGTTGAATATTCTCCTCCAAGCCCTCTAAGAAATTCGTCAACCTAAAGTACACAGTGCAGTAATCACGACAAAGACAACTACGAATGGGGAGCGGAAACAGGACGCTGTTGTCTACCCAACAGGGATGCACGGACGGCGAATAATTTAACGACTATCTGAGATCATTGGAAGCTGGTGCACAGCCCCTTCTGCAAACGAGGCAATGACCATAGTACGAGACGTCCCCACTTACCCCCGGTACAGTGATTGACCGATCTCATGAAATGCTGGTCGAAATTCTGAAATGCATTTCCGATTAGGCAGGATTACTTAGGTGGGGTTGTAATATTGGTTATCATGCGGCATAATACTGTAATATTTTGCACTCGACAGGATGTCGGTTTTTGAATGCACTTTTTTCCGAGCTGCAGAAGCCACATTCGGTAAAAAGTGACTACTTAGGTAGCACACATTCACTTTGATTTTCGATGGCCCTATAACCTCAAATATATTTTATAGAAGACATGCACAAAAATATTCCCTCTTCCACTCGCTTGGTAGAAAATCCCGTTGTCTCCTAATTTTATACCCTAAGAAAGGGTATATTCAGGTTTTGGGGAAGTTTCCCAACTCCCGAATAGCTTTGAGCCTGATCAACCGTTGCACTAGCGTTTACCAATTTTATTCTACAAGGTGCATGCTTCGCGCGTGAGAGTTCGCATATTCTTCCATGCCTTCAAGAAAATACCATCTAGAATTCCTAAGTTTTGCAATGGATGCGAAATATGTACATCTAATGGGAAGCATTGGTAAACGGACAGGCACAATGCTTTAGGAATGGACATTGCACGGTCTTAAAAAATCTCATAATTAAAAACTTTTAAAGCCGAAGGATATATTTTATCCGAGCACAAAATGCGGAGACGTGATTGTCTGCCAATCCAGTAAAGGAAAGCACGTTTTGTGCACGCTTTCGACAAAATGTTTGGACTTATGAGATAATCTAAAATCAATGCGAATGTGTGCCACTTAAGTAGCAATTTTTCACAGAGTGTGGTTTCCACAGGTCGAAAAGAAGTGCATTCAAAAGCCGACATCCTGGCGAGTACGAAACGCTATAGGATTATACCACATGACAGCCAATATTACACCCCCACCCAAGTAATCCTTCCTAATCGAAAACACGTTTCAGAATAACGGCCAGCCTTTCGTGGGATCGGTCACTCCCTGTATCTGTCGTAGTAGTCAGGTGATTGGGTCCTCTGGGGACCACTCCCAAGTTGAGGACGCAGTGAGTTTAAAATGAACTGGTTTACGCCAAGGACTTGTGCAGCATCTATACCTTCTTCACACCCAGTATCCCACGGTGGCGAGCGTCAAGGCTGAATTTGTATCTATGCGTGAAGGTCACTTCAGGAGCACAAACCCGGCGTTGGGAGCGAGCCTGATACCCCCCATCGGAGGGAGCTAATACAGTAAGCCGACGTAGGTCAAGAGCCACTGAGGCAACCAGCTTTGCCTCGCAAGCACAACAGTCTTTGCCGTCAAAACCCCCCACTAAGACAAGCTGCCAGTCTTCGCGTGCACAGAACATGCGCAAGAGTTTGGTGCAAAATAATCACAAACTGGCATACAGGTAGGGGGTGGGGACCTATGATACAGAGTACAAGAACAACGCGGGAGGAACATACAAGGTAGAAAAATAAAATTTAAAAAAAGGTGGAGAAAAACAAGGCTCCACAGGTGTACACTTGCAGTACACAAGCGTAAGGAGCGCAAAGACAAAAAACGCAATTGGTATGGGCGTGTTTTGGATCAGACCATGGATAAGGGAGGGGGGGGGAGGAGGGATGCGATCTCCTTCCAACTCCAGGAGCATTATGTTAGCACGAAATATAAGTAATTTAATGGGCGAGCTGGAGGGAGGGGGAACCAATGACAACACGCGGAAGGACGTTCGCGCGCTCTTTAAATTGCACCGACAGAGTTGGAGACGTGACCTCTCCTATCGCCAGGTTGCGTTCCGGTTGGTGATGTGTAGGCTTGGTGAAGATCAGGTGGACCGCCTGCAGGGTCGGACACTTCGGCGGACCGGTAGACGGGTTCATCCACAACCCCTTCATGGTGCGCATAGGCGGCTGCAGATGTGACCACTACACCATTGTTGTTCGTCGTCTGGAGGCTCTCCAAAGAGAGGGTCTGCGGGTCCACGCACATGACCTCTCCTCCACCGCCTTGGGCAGTCGGGACGACAGTCTGGTGGTGATGCTGATGTAGAGAACCGGGAGGGCTGGCTACGCCGCCGCCTTCAACTACAGAGGACTGGCGTTGGAAGTCACTGCGTAACAGTTCCATCAGGAGGGAATTGCTTGAAAGATAGGGACTGAGGTCCTTGTCCACCAGCAGTTCGCGCGCCAGTGAGCTGGTCCGCTGCAGTTCAGGGATGCGAACAAGAAGCTCGGCGAATTTGTTGGGCACCTCTGGTAAGGTGGCGGCAGTGTGCTCCATGAGCATGCGACTGACGCACTCCTGAAACTGTTTGACCTGGCGCACGGCCCTAAGGTTGGCAAGATCAGGCTGCATCAGAAGAATGACCTTGAGGCAGGCAAAATCGACGATGGTGAGGCGAAGGCGTTTGAGGTCCTGAGTCAGTTGGAGGAGGTTGCTCACCAAATCGTTGGCACCCTTCTCGCACGCAACGTCCAGGTTTATGCATTTGCTGGAGGTCAGTCGGATTTCCTAAAATGCCAAGTCGCAATAACCATATAAGCAAGACTTGCAGAATAGGAAATAAAATGACCTAAAAATAGCAGGATGAAGCGATAATGTCAAAGGGGCGGCAAATTCGACGAGTTAAATTACCTTCCTAACCGCACTAGGATAAACATGCGGGTATAAAAGGCGGATGGATTGAAAAGCCACACGGTCATTCAGCAAAAGCAAGACTGCAATACCTTGGAGTTGCGAGACAGTGACGCTCCCTGATCTAGCTCGATTAGAGGAAAAAATAGGGGGTTTCCGGTTTGCCCTACAATTTCGGCTCTGATGCCCCACAAGGGGTCATACAGTAACAGACAATTAAAACGGGTAAACTTTGTTGGCTATGACTGGGGACATTGCAACAGTTACTTTTGACTTGTCCGTTGTCACCACTTAGCCGTGCCGTGACGTGATGACCGGAGGATCTGAAAGTTGAACGTGAATCTCGGACTCCCGACGTCCAGGCTACGAGGAGGATTATTCACGGCCACGTGACGTCCACCAATCCAGGCTGATTGCAGGAAGGAATATGAACGTTTGTTTTCCTCTGCGATGTGCCCGGCCGACTAGGGCCAAGAAATCGTGATCGTCGAGGGGCGTCCGACATTTTTCATTTCGACTCTGATGTAAGCAGCATGTGAAAACTAAAAAAAGTTTACTGAGTCCTCTACTAGATATGTCCTCCCCTCTGAAACACCAACGAGCCGACTTGGCCGTTGACAGCCGGTACGCTCCTCATACGCGTTTACAGCATTCAAAAAAGTCATTTCCGGAACAGATTTAGTAGGCTCCTAGTAGTTCGGGCAGTTGGACCTGCCGCTCATTGTCAAAGAAGAATCAAGCAGAAATACTACAAAGTCCTGATGAGGGATGACAGGCAGATCTCTGGGAGGAGGAGAGCGACGTATACGTGAGATATGTCGCTTCAAAAGCAGCAGTTGGATTTCCAACCTACTATCAAAGCACTTGTTTCGTGGTAGTTGTCTTTGTCAAATAAAGAAAATAACGAGAAACTGAGTAGACGCCCCTTCACTACAGACGGTTGATAAGAAGTTGAGGGACTCACCGTTGGCGTAGGTAACGACTTCCAGCAACAGTCCAAACAAAGCAGATCGGCCCAGCAGTTCTGAAGGAGCAGGATTTGATCGTCAGTATCAAGGTTGGTGAACACGGGGAGGGCACGTGACCAGCGAACGATGCGGTAGAGCCGTTGGTCGGCCAGATTGAGCAGAGCGCGATAAACAGTAGCCTCATCTTCGGCAGAGTCGAAGTCCAAACTCTCTTCCGGCTCGGCCTCAACTGACTCTTCCACTTTAAGGATTTCACGCAACAGCTAGTAAAGGAGTAGCAAAGGTATATTAATAACAAGTTTGGGACAAGAGCGAATTTGAAGACAAACACTGAATAACGCCGCGAACCTTAGGCATATCTGCAGTGTTGTGCTGTTGATTACGCAAGATGCCGCTCAAACTGAGATGCTTGTAGTCGTAGTCCGAGAATTCAGACTGTCCCTGCGACACGGTGGTGGGCACAGAATCGTCCAGGACGGCCGGATCCAGGTAGACACCGCCACCGACGTCCTCGGAGGCTGGCAGACCATTGGGCCCGAGGGTCATTGGCACCATCTGGAGGGAGGAGGCGGAGGAGCTCCCTACGCCCATGTTGATAGAATCGCCGCTGGGGGCACCCGAGGAAGGCAAAGGGGCCAAAGTTGCCAGAGTTGTCGGCTTCCTGTCGCCCGGTGTGCCCGAGGCTCGGGCAGCAAGCTGTCGCAGGTAGCGGGAACCGGGATACATGCTGCGTCCGCCACGAGTTCTGTCAGACCGAATGGCTAAAAAAGTGGTGCACGATTTTAACACCAAATTAACGCTTACTTAGAAAAGAAAGTAACATGTATTGTCGTAGAAGCACAGAAGATCGAAACTAACCTTCCATTCGCATTCCCTTCTCCAAACACTTTACGAAGCGACAGGCCGGACACTTTTTCCTCGAGGCGGCCGTGATCTCGCAGAGCGATGAGGGCGTGGCCATGTGGCAGGCGTAACGTTTTGCATTCTGAACAGTACGTTTGAAAAAGCCCTTGCAAGATTCACAACAAAATATGCCGTAGTGATAGCCGGAGATTTTGTCTCCGCAGATTGGGCACGGTCCAAGTTTGGCGAATTGTTTGACATACTGCTGCCAGGAGGATTCGCGCTATACCAAACAGAGGCCAGGCAATTAGGATAGTCACTATCGTTAGGAAGAGATGCGATGCTCGCAGTCAATATTTTCAGTCGGGACGAATGTGAACGAAATTATAGATAAAACAAATGTGACTTCGCAAAAGTAAATCGAAGAGAGGAGAGCATACGACTTATTCGCTCCTTCGATTTGTGCTCTTCAGGCAAACTGATATTCTTATTGTACAATTTTTTTCCTGCGAAGTCTGATCACAGGCTACAATACCCAATGACGAAAATAGTTCAAATACTCGATCTTTAATATATTAGCTCTTGTAAGCAATATGGTAATTAGGAAAAATACACTCACGCCACACCAAAACTTTCAGGACACTTACTACATGGAGTACACCGAGTTGTTTAAAGGTATCAGGGCCTGAAGCTGGTGGTTCTAACCTCGGTTACCTACGACTACACAAGGCTAAACATTTACATATGATGAAAGGAGTGCCGACAAAGACAAGGGAGACTGTAATAGTGATTTATGGCTTCTTTGCCGTCGTAAGCAGGCATACCCAATCCCAGGCTTGAAGTACCTGCGTTCGAACCCGGAGTCATTAGTCATAGGGTCAAAAGCCCTACCATTGAGCCATGAGCCCGTTGTCCTGCCGGTTGTGATCAGAAATATCAACTATGGTGGGATTGCGTTCATAAATCGGATTACAAGACATGTTCGTCCATATATGCATATATACATACAGTAGATGTGCTAACTCATGAAATGTCAACCAAAATTTCGAAATGCGTTCTCGTTTCGAAAAGATAAATTAAGTAGCGTTGTAAAACTAATCATGATGCAGCATAAATCTATAATGATCCAGTTACCTCAGGGTGTCGGCTTCCGAAAGAACTTATTTTACGCTGCATGCAGGATCTATACTCTGCAAAAAAGGACTACTTAAGTTGCATGCAATTTTCTCATTGATTTTCGATGCCCTTGAAAATTCAATTATATTTCATGGAAGACATGCATAAAAATATTCATTCTTTTACTTATTGGATAGAAAATCACGTCTTCTTCCAATTTCATACTCAAAAGAAGAGTATAATTCGGTTTTAAAAAACTTTTCGAATTCCCGAATAATTTTGAATCCGACCTGCTGTTACACTTGCATTCAGGGTTTCAAAACTACAAGCTGTATATTTTCCGTGTACGGAAAACCATGCATTTCCCTACGATGTTAAGAGGAGACCATAAGAGGTTCATAAAATTAAGCAGTGGATTTGAGCAATATTGTTACCTTTACAAGCCACATTCGTAAATGCAGATACATGACGTTACATGAACGGCCATTTAAAGGAATTAAAAAATCTCACAATTAGGAACTTTTTACAACCGAATTATACTCTTCTTTTGAGTATGAAATTGAAAGAAGACGTGATTTTCTACCGAATAAGTAAAAGAATGAATATTTTTATGCATGTCTTCCATGAAATATAATTGAATTTTCAAGGGCATCGAAAATCAATTAGAAAATTGCATGCAACTTAAGTAGTCCTTTTTTGCAGAGTATAGATCCTGCATGCAGCGGAAAATAAGTTCTTTCGGAAGCCAACACCCTGAGGTAACTGGATCACTATAGATTTATGCTGCATCATGATTAGTTTTACAACGCTACTTAATTTATCTTTTCGAAACGAGAACGCATTTCGAAATTTTGGTTGACATTTCAAGAGTTAGCACATCTACTGTATATGTCAGAGAGGAGACGGCAGAGTCTGGGGGTAGATTGGTACAGCACTGTTTCGGGCATGTTCACCTTCATTCGAGCAATCATAACTCTGACCACCGGCTGGGACCGGAAACACAAGCATGCTCTCACACGCCTGGCGCAGCTGGTCCACCACTGGGGTCTATCAGATGGGTCATAAGCACTTCATTGAACTGAAGTTCGTCAGTGCCTCGCCACCTGTCATTCTGTCGCTGCAGGAATAGGCGCACACCGATCCATTCGCGACACCTATCGCCCATACAAAGCTTGCTTGTTTCGGGAAGCCAATAGATCGGTCTGCGTCCATTCCTGAGTGAGTATATATATATATTATGACAGATGGGCGCCCACCGATCAGATTACGGAACGTGCTCGTTCCGTTGTGCTTTGGGGCTCATACTAGAACCCTCGCTGGTAGTCGCACAGCGACTAGTAGTAGACGTAAATGAGATGGTACCGACAAAGACAAGGGAGACCGGAATGGCAGTGTCCAACTGCATGACCAAAGATCTCGGGTTCGAATTTCCAGTGATCCACAATTGAGGTTGGGTAGGACTGGCTGATGACGGCTAATAAGCCAGAAATGACCAGCCAGATCTTTTTTGTTTCTGTCGTTACTATCTCATATACATATATGTGGGCGAAACACGTGCCTGGGCTTTTAGTATCTACGTCGGGAGTACGGTATAGTATCTGTAGCATATATATATCCAGTGATCGGTCTCGTGAAATGTTAGTCGAAGTTCTGAAAGGCGTTTTTGACTAGGATGAGTTACTTAGGTGGGGTTGTAGCATTGATTACCATACGGCATAATCCTATGATATTCCGGACTCGCCAGGATGCTGGCCTTTGCATGAACTTCTTTTCAACCTCCTGTGAGAATCGCACCGGGCCAAAAATAACTACTTAAGTAGTATTAATTCTTCACACTGGTTCCCACTGCCCCTATAAATTAAGATATAATTAACAGAAAACATGGACAAAAATATTCCTTTTTGTACATATTTGGTAAAAAAATTACGTTTTCTTCTAATTTTATACTAGATGAAAGAGTACCTTTCGGTTTTAAAGTTTTTAATTGTGATTTTTTAAGACAATGCAATGTCCATTCATGAAGCATCGTACGCGCCCGTTTATTAAAGCTCCTCATGAAGTATGCAAAATGTTATGAACTCTGCATAGTATCTTCTTAACGGCATTGATTTCTTCTTCGCGGAAAGTATACACCTCGTAGACTGAAGTCGCTAAACGCTAATGCAACGGGCCGATCTGGCTCAAAATTATTTGGGTTAGAAGCTTTTTAAAAACTCAAATATACTCTCTCTTCTAACGTTAAATGTGAAGATAACGTGATTTACCATCAAATGAGTAAGAGGATGAATATTTTTGTACGCGTTTTCGATAAAATATAAATGAGTGTGAAAAGTGAATTTTCTACCAAGTGCGGAAAGAAATGAATTAAACAGCATGATAATCAATATTACGACCCCACTTAAGTAATCCTTACAAACGGAAAACGTGGTTCAGAATCTCGGCTAACAGTTCGTGAGATCTGTCAATGACTGTATGTATACATGAAGTTCAGTGATGCTCTAAGCATCTAACAGGGAAGACTGAGTGTGAGTTAGGAAGCAGTGCTTTGAAGGTTAATGTATAATGACCGTCTTTTTGGAATCCAAGGAATTACGTCTACGGAAAGAGTGACAGTGACGATTATTAGCACATTCCTTCTCCTCCCTCCCTGAAGAAAACCGCAGTTAAGGAGTGAGATGGGTCAGGTCTTTGGTGTAATAGTACAAGCAAGCAGAGAATGTACCTACATCCGTGATGATTTCCTGAACACGACAGCATCGGCAAGAGCGGTGTGGACTGATAATGTGCCATTCCGGAAGAACACCTCATCCCCCACAATGTTCGTAGGTTATAAGCGAAAGGTTTGTGGAACACATTGAGAACCACAAAAAGTGAACGCTGAGAAACCCCTCAAGAATGAAATAAAGTTTCTTTACGCCCGCCTCCTATCGGAGAGGCTGTCACAGGGATAGACGACTGCAATAACGACTTCGCCTATGGCAACGACCAGGCGGAAGAGTTTGAGGTGTGGATAATCCTTCAGAAGTTGAAAATAGTAACTGAGGTGAGATATGTGTTGTCTAATTCGGAGGCAGAGTGCTAATTATCAACGTCAACAAGTGCGAAGAACTCATTAAATCTACCCCCTTAGGATCGTGTAAGCGGTAAGACGGTTGCAAAAGCACAGTCTTAGGGCCCGCCTGTCAAAGGTTCTGTGTGACATTTGTGGTTTTTGAAATCCCACAGGGTGTCTTTAATTCAGGCTTTCTCTAAAATGACCGTCGGATATTCCGTACATCTCGGGAGACTACTGGTGTTCCACTGACCTAGCCGGGAGCTAGACTTCAAGAAGAAGCTTCGCGAGACGGTTCCTCAGGCCCTTGATGACCTGTTCTTATTTGACTACGCTCGCCTTCCGTTCAGAAGCGACATTGGCGCAGTCAGTCGCCAGTTGCAAGAGTCAAATAGAATCGGGCACGCGACAGAAGATGCGCTTGACTAATACCAAAACACTAGGCTCCTTGTCAGCGTGCGAGCAGGTACACAGCGGCGCACGTTGCATTGTGGCGTCCCCAAGTACTAGTGGTAAGCCAACACCACTCTGGATGTGTGTGTGATGGTTGACAGAGAAAGACCTGAGCGTCAAATAAGAATGTCGCAATGAACAGAAGGTTTTTTTAAAGATTTACAAGAGCACTTAGTAATTCCAACTGCGCGCGCTGAAATAGGCTATTTATGGAAGCCAGTAAAGGCATATCGGAGGACGCAAACGACGAGGTTCCACTGGAGCACTAGTGAACACAGAGAGATGTCACGTCTGGCACTTGTTGTCAAGATGTAGAACGGTTTGCAATTTCCTCTTCTCGACTGCCACGCCATAGCCGTACTTCCTCAACGTGGAGGAGATTTGGCGTCCTCCAATGGGCTGTAATGTGGGTCACAACTTTCCGCAAGAGAGAACGCAAACACGCATACAGTGACTGTGACAGTCCGACCGTCGCGGCCGACGATGTTCACCGCGTGCTGCACAGCAGACTGAGAACCAGACAAGGTAACTTGCGCGTAAATTAGTTTATAGTGGTAGTGAAGTTGCGCAGCATCTACCGCACTCGCTCCTGGGCCCGATGTCAAGATATAGTCAAGAAGACCGGAGGCGAGTGAGGGCGCAGATGGATGGAACGGGGAGGGAACCGCACCTAGGCGTACCAAGACACCATAAAAGTCACATTATGAAGGAGTCATTGCAGCCTGACTCTCAGGCCACCAGTCGGCCACTCCACACATAAGCACAGATACTGGGCTGACTGCGAAGTCCAAACTATCCGTCACCTGGCAGCCTCATAAGTCAGGTCACAGAGGGGGAGAGAGAGGGATGACGCAATTCACTGGGCAACCATGGCCTGTGTACCAGCCTGTATACTCAGCGGGAGTGCAACGGCATCCACCGGCAGGGAGTCGGGAAAACTGCCAGCGCACACCAGGCGGCGAAGGCCATGGCTTGCTGAAGCACGGCATAGCATACGCACACAATCCGTAAAGCCACACTCACCGATGAAACACCCGCATTCGAGTAGCCATCGCTGCGGCACAATCGAGAGCCCGCAGTGGACATTGGGGTGGACTGGGCCAGCGGCAGCCTAGAACCCCCGCTGTGCGAGGTAGTGGTCAGTTGGCGCACTGGAACAATAGGCGCCGGGGTGTGGTGTTGCTGCTGCAGAACCACAACACTGCGTTCCCCTGTCAACATGGTGGCCGTTTTGAGGGAGAAGCTGCTGATGGCCGACGCGGGCTCTGGCTTCGAGAAGGGCGTCTGCAGTAGGAAGTCTACGAAAAACAAGAGTAAATGGCAGGGCTTAAACCACGTCTGTCTCGGTGAAAGCACTTCCAAAAACTTAGTATTGTGTATATGAAGTAAAAGACTTGCGCGCAGTTCGCAATGCAGGCAAATGTGATCAGAAATGTCAATAAACGACGTAGATGTTGCCTGATCCATGTCATGATCCGGTGACGCTCCGGAGATTACCAAGCACTGTCAGCTTGGACATAAATGCCTGAAACCCTTGGCACGGAAATGGAGCTCGAATGAGGGAAGGCCAAACCGAAACTCAACAGCTATGTCCAAAGGGCCTTCCTTGTGGATGGTAAAAGGCTACGAGTCGCTTATAGTTTCACTCAAAGGCACAAAAAGTCAATTCCCATACATGCAGGACGCTTTAAAGGCCTCAAGTGTTAGTAACGGTTCTGACACAAAAGGTTACGAAGCACAACCTGACAATTTTAGAGTCAACACAAATTTGGCAACTTGAAGTTGCAATAAAGGGCGCAAAGATCTCTTCTCCTTGAGAAGTGATTGATGATCGTCGCCTCACACGCAGTGCTTAGGCGCCTTGGTAACACCAGAGCGGATACGTCTACTGGTACAATTGAGAGTCGCCTGTGCGAGTATTCTGTAGGCCGCTTTCCAAACGCAGAGTTGACCGAGGGCGGTTGGTTTGCTATAGTCGGTCTGGCGCTGAGTCAAGACGGGTGATAAGCGTGTCAATAGCTTCCAAACGAACTGAACCGCTGTTGTGCCTGACCAGAGATGAGGCTACGTTGGCAAATGGCATGCGCTATTCGGACTGCACTGGATACGCAAGCGTCCCTGACTATTGCCCTGCACGCGTGTGGCGGTGGGGTGACTCGGCCCACTACATGACACACAGTCAGGCTGAAAAAGTTTTTTTTTTACTGTGGAGTATTAACTTGCATGAAACCTGGGGCTGCCGCATTGAAACCCGGCACACGTGAAGTTAGGTAACAAATCGTGTGACGCGTGTAGATGGGGTGGACGGCTTTTCTAGTCGTTACGTCCAAGCACACCTGCGGTCGCCTTGACCCTAATTCACGATTAGAACACTTGGTAAGAAGAAAGTGGGAGGAAATTCGGCGCAAGTCACCACTGCGTTTATCCGGGAGATTTGGTGATATGTTATTACCGACAAAGACAAGGTAGACTGGAATGGCCATTTCTGGCTTAATAGCCGTCGTCAGCCAGTCATACGCAACCCCGAAGTGTGGAGTTGGGTATGACTGGCTGACGACGGCTAATAAGCCAGAAATGGCCATTCCAGTCTCCCTTGTCTTTGTCGGTAATAACATACTGCCTATATCATGCGCGGCTGTACGGCTGCTGGTTGGGCTCGAGAGAGAGCCCATAAGGCACAACGGAACGATTAAGTTCCGTAAGAACGATCGGTGAGCGCCCCCTACCACAGTTGGTGATCCTTATCGCTTGCGACAGAGGACGTATCAGATCGGACAATGCCTATCTAGTTTGACCGAGGTAACTGAGTCCTAGGGGAGCACTGTGCTACATGCGAAAACATGCGAGAGCTAACTGAAGACAAGACCCACACAAATTGATCGCCACATCTGGCACACATAATTCCGACCACCCATATGAAACAAGTGGTAGCTAGAGTCTTCGTAGTACGACGCAAGTTAGCCGCATTCGGCTAATGTAGTGTTTCAGGCCTTTCACTATGGCGTTGATCATAAACATTCCAATTCAATCATATGCCCGGAAAAAAGCGATTTCTCAATAACCGCGTACGAAATTTGGGGTGCAAAAGATCAGTGGCATCTACAAAAATAACTCAATTAAAAATCAAGAAAAACACCACTGACTACGCTTTTGCTCGTACTCGCGGCCGGTAGCGTGCATTACTGATTTGGCCAGAGGTGAACCGATGCAATCTCGCAATTTGACTGTGCAAAAAGGCATTTCGATGACATTAGGAGAATGTATCTGAATAGTGACCGTATGCATTTTTTCACTCCACTGCTTAGTCATGGGCAAACTACGTGTCCACATGCCATCCCAATGAGTCAGGTGTGCATCGGGTCGCGAAGCTGTGTCGCCCATCCGCCCGCCTGCTGTAGAACACTTCCTGGTGCCTACGATCGAGAAAACAGCAGCAGCAGTGGCATCGTTCGCAGGTCTTGACTTGAAACACTGCGCCTCCGTCCTGTTGCAGTCAAAAATGTTTAGTAAAACATGACAAACTCGACAGGCGTTCAGAAAAAAAAACATCGACTCGCAAAGGACTGGATCACAGACCGACTGTGGCAGACGAAGAGGGCTACAGGAATCGGGAGTCCGTGCGCATGTGTACGCAGGGCGGGGCGTGACGCGCGCGGTGCATTAGACGCCAGGCAGAAGCGACTGTGTGGACGCACCGACGGCATAAACTCGTGCCTATGACAGCACAGAGGCGAGAGCTGCTCGCACAGTCAAACTAATGAGCTCACATGACATCACACAGGGGAGTGATTGACGTTGGAGACGGTGCAGTATTACAGCACATTACAGGCTACTGCTGGCACACGGTAGAACGGTCTTGTGATGGAACGGAGGTCGGAGCAAAGTTCCATCATCCGCTTATTGGACTTCGTCCTTGACTCTGGCTCTAACTCCTTGTGCTGTCTTCGAACCGATGTGAATATAAACAGTAACAACACCTGATGTGAGTGAGAGCTTGTTAGAATATGCGGTCGGTCGGCAGGAATTTCCGTCGCTTTTCATTCTAAAAATCATGGAAATTTGGTCTGAGGGTCGGCTGTCCTACCTCCCGGCCACAGACCACTGGCTACATGGCGACCATCAATCAAGACCTCGAAACTGGATTGTTTCCCACTTTTGTAGCGGACCCTCCGAAAGGTTGTGCGAAACAAAAAGATCGCAAGTACAAGCCCTGCGTGGGCCAGATCGGAGCATTGGGGCACAACACGGCGCCAGTACTCCGTCCTACGAGTAGGCCCGACTAGTGGACACCGCTCTCATATGATCGGATATTCCAGACACCGGCTGAGAAGGCGTGAGCTTATGAATGAACAGGTGGTGCGTTAAGGTCAGTAGTCAGCCGGAGCAGGAAAAGGCTGCCTGTGTTTTCAACATCGAAAGGTAGAACAAGAGAAGTGTCTTCAACAAAAAGTGGATGGCCATCACTCAACGAATTCCTGCAAACCAAACTTGCTCGACGAACGTGGTGAACCTGTTAGCAAGAAGACTTACAACAGCCGAAGAGAGTGTACTTTCTAAGGTAATGAAAGATAGTCTATCCGCTTTTAAATACTTAGACTTCCTTGCAAATTTGGAGTCTATAATATCAACAGAAAACCTTACGGATGATGGACGCTTCACAATCCGGAAAAGCACTGTACATGCCTTAAATAGCCAAAATAACACGAAGGAAAGAAGGCACTAAAACATTCAAGTGACAAAAACATTGCCATACTTCCTGTAGACAAAGGAGGCTCAACTGCGATTTTTAACAAAGCAGACTACAACGAAAAGATGTTATCATTATTGAAGGACAGATCAACCTATAAACCTCTTACCAAGGGCCCTACCAAAGCACAGAATACGGACATTGAAAAAGTTCTAAAACGTCTTAAGGAAAGAAGGAAATATCAGGAGATATTGCCAAATCCTTACGACAAACTAAACCAGCCATTGCTAAGATCTATGGACTACCTAAGGTTCACAAACCTGAAGTACCACTGCGACCGATAGTATCGTTAATCGGTGCAACTAGTTACAATATTTTTAAATGGCTATTCCACAAACTATCCTTTGACAAAGGATTGTGAAACATCAGTCAATAATTCAATAGATTTTCTGGACAAACTACATGGACCGAGAATCGCAGCAAATGAAATAATGGTATCCTTCGATATCGTCTTATTGTTAACTTCCATACCACTGGATTTAGCGAGACAATATACAGGGGAAAGTCTCCAGTACTACGACATGGATATCCATGTATCTGCCTTGTTAGAACGCTGAAGTGAGCCCCTATGGGATCATCCATCTCTGGCTCCCCACAGAAGTCACGATGCAAAAATTAGAGGCTATCGCCTTACCGTCGGCTAACCCCAAATTATAGGTACGTTATGTTGATGACACGTTTGTCATTGTTAAGTGATCAACTGGAAATACTCCACAACATTTTTAAATCAACACTTCCAGGAATCGCATTCACACTCGAGAACGAGGCTAACAACAAACTCCCGTTTCCTGATGCCCTCTTAAAGAGAAAGCCTGACGGGACATTTTACACTTCAGTTTGCCTCAAGGAAACCTACGTGGAAATTCCTTTAAATTACGAGAAAAATCACCCGGTCTCTCACAAAACGGAGTGCCGTGAACAGCCTCCTTAATCGAGCAAGAACTCACTGCTCTGACAACGAAACCTACCATACAGAACTGAATTATTTCTTTAAACTGTTTTCCCAGATATTTTGTACACCGATGCATGAGACGACAGGAGTTAAACGAGAAGGGCAAAAGAACTAGATTGTTCCGATCAGGCACCCAAGCCAAAAAACTGGCGAAAACTTCCGTACATTAAGAACGTGTCCGAGCTAATTGAAAGATATCCGAGGAAGCACCACATACATGTGTCGCACAAGCCGACGACTACACTTCGTAACCAGCTTGTACACCCTAGGGATAGGATTGGCTAGTTAGATAAGAAGGAAGTCGTCTATAAGATACCATGCGACACCTGTGATGCGGTTTACTGTGGTCAAAGTGGGAATAGGCCTCTACACGAATACATGAACATCAACTGGCCGTAAAAAGGCGAGACCACTTGTCCCAAGTTGCCATGAATGCGCTGGGAACTGGGCACAAATTCGCCAAGGACAAGACTCGCATTGTAGGTGTCTGCTCATCTAAGAAAGGCAGCGAATTTTCAGAGGCCATTCATTCTGATAACTTATGCATCAATCGACACGTAGAATTGGATGCTGTCTACAACAACCTCAAGGAACGTGGAAAATGCGTTGGCCAAACAGAACAGGGTAAAATCAATTTTTAGGCATGTTTAAATGCTAACTGTTTTGCACACTTACTTCACGTCTGAGGACGACTCGAGGAACCAAAGTCGAAAAGTTACAATAAAATTTCCCAAATAAATTATTTCTTCCGAATTATGTTTATTGGGATATCTGTTTTCAAATATAGTGACAGATGGGCGCACACCGATCAGGTTACGGAACACGCTCGTTTCGTTGTGCCTTGGGGCTTATACTAGAACCGTCGCAGGCAGTCGCACAGCGACTAGTAGTAGTAGAAGTAAATGAGATGATACCAATAAAGGCAAAGGAGACCGAAATGGACATTTCTGGCTTATTAGCCGTCATCAACCAATGGTAGTGTCAAACTCCATGACTAAAGATCCCGGGTTCGAATCCAAAGTGGTTCATACTTGGGGTTTGGTATGACTGGCTGATGGCAGCAAATATGTCAGAAATGGCCATTTTGGTCTGCCTTGTCTTTGTCGGTATCATCTCATATATATATATATATATATATATATGTATGTATATATATATATATACATATTTATTTATGACAGATGGGCGCTCACCGATCAGGTTACAGAACATGCTCGTTCTGTTGTGCCTTTGTCGGTATGTCGGTGTGTGTGTATAATGAGGAGGAGGATTCCGACTCGTTCCAGGACTTCTGTCGGATATCTTATTCTGTCATCTCGGCTTTGGCATTCTCTGGGTAAATCCGAGGTACAAGTGAATGAGTTCTTTGGCTCGAAAGTCAATTGACTTCCAGGCGTAACATGGGAATTTTCTTGATTTGGTTGACGTAGACGATCCATGCCTTCACCTCGTCGAGTCGTCGACTTGAGCGATGGTTGGGGCCGTTATGATTTGAAACAAAACCCAGAGTGTCGGTGATGACTGACACTCATGAGTACATCCCGAAATAACATACTGCCTATATCATGCGCAGCTGTGCGGCTGCTGGTTGGGCTCGGGAAAGAGAGCCCGTAAGGCACAACGGACTGAGTGAGTTTCGTAAGAACGATTCGTGAGCGTCCACTACCATAACAGGAGTGTATTAGGCACGTAGGTCTTACAAACGCAAAGGTAACATGATAGCTCCAGGAAAATTCTTTAAGGCCACGTGCACGGCAAGGCAGTTTGCTCCCCGATAAACGGACCAAAGCTTATTAGAGCCAATTGCCGCACAGGTGGACTGCAGAGCAGACGTCTTGATAAACAATGAATCGGCGTGGATGACTGATAGCGTGGCAAGCTAGTGAATCCCGTGTTCTGTTGTCTTGCAAACATAAGGACCCTCCAACTTAGAGAGAAGCAGGGGAAAACCACCAGCTGTCTGACGTTCGGAACTGGGGGACTTACTTAAAAAACTTCTAAGTCGCAACTGGAAGAAAGGAAATGTAGAGCAGAATCTGGGTTTTGGCGTCTTGCAGATAATATTACGTTAAATCAGTTCTCCAGAAGGTCCTCTGCGTGAAATATACCGACGCTAAGACAGGAATCAAAGGACGAAGAATTATTCCCGCCAATGAAGACAAATGTCACAATTTAACACAAAAATTAAAAAAATACCATGAAAACAAGCGTCGAATAACGGAGCTACGTCTGCAATATTCTCTAACGCACACAATTCAAGAGTGGAGATGTAAATGAAACTTAATTAAGTGAGGGTAGGTGTGCACATATTAACGCGTAGGCTGCCGTTGAGTGCGCCCCCGAAGACGCGTCAGATGAAAGGAGACGAATGAAAGAAGGCAGGCTGTCTCGAAACCGCAGTATGAAAAAAGATTCGATACGTTTTGCACACAACCGTGAAGTGAATGGGGAGCAAGTATTTTCTCTCCGCTCCTCAGTAACAGACTTCGAGAATGTAGACGAATCCAAAATAAGGACGGGCGTGGGGGGTCATTATTAAGAAATATTGCGGAAACACAACAAGTCCGTCGATCAGTCAGACAATGAAGGGGCAGCTTAAAAAGTTTGCAGTTTGGAAGTCATTAAAAGCCAACTTTAACCCTTGGCCCCTCGAGATCGGTGGGACAGCAGGTTACGACACCGACAACCCAATAATCAGCTACTGAGAGCGGCAGAGTCTCGATCAGTTTAACTGATTGCTGTGTGCTGTTAATAAAACGTCAGTGATGGACGGGAAAAGATTGTGAAAAGAAGGTTAGGACTGAGAAGGGCGAAAAATGTATTTGTTTCATGGCGCCGCCTAGTGTGTTAAGACGTGGCGCCGAACTTAAAATGAAATAAGAGTGCATACTCCATCCGAGCAGGTGGCTCAGCTCCATTTTACGGATGGGTCAGACATATCGACCTCCTAATTTGTGTCATCGCATGGTATCCTTATTTCGTCCCACAACTGGGCTCGACTTATGGTATACAGGGTCAGAAGTAATGAAATGGTGCCGAACATTAATGAGAATAAAATAAGCTGGAGCCAGTCCCGAAGATAAAACTTCTAGTCGACTTAAGATGTGACTAGTCCAGCTTTGCAGTTACTTGAACATTAACAGTAGGCCTTGGAAGTGAACGGAGTCGGCAAAAGCCGCAGAATATTTTTTTGTCCAGGTTGCCAACTCACGAAACACTGTCTGTACCGACGACGCCGTCCTCAATATAAAAAACGACACGCCTTCATCGGCAACTGCTTGACGACACAGTCCGGAAACAGCAAAGACACTCGGCAGACGCAGGCAGAATTGTTATACTTCAGGGCCAGGCTATGATACGTCATTCACTGCTCACAAGAGCATCTGCGTGGGTATAAACCAACTTGCCGCAAAAAGCTAATCTACCGCGTGTGGAGGGACTTCAGAGAGGCGAATCACGAAAGGCCATCAAGAGAGTGCCAGGTTTAGGAGACCCCGACGAACATGATCAACAGCAACAAATCGCAAATTTCTTAGGAAGTATGCTTCCGAATGACCTGGCACATGCGCTGCCGACCTCGTGTATTATGATGCAAATGGGCAATACATTTTGTAATGAACTCCGTCTGCCTACAAGAGACATCTCGAGGACGTTTAAGAAAAAAAAAGGAATAGCAGCAGTACGTTTAAAAAAAGATACTCACGCTGACCAGGTTGTGTTAGCACACGGAGGGAGGACGAAGAGGCTGTATCTGTAGTGGCTATTCCGCTCTGGCTGGGCGAAATATTCAGCTGATTGCCTCCCAGTTGTCTTGTCGGGATAATAATGTATGTAGGGGCTTGCTGATTTGACTGCAGTTGGTAAGGTTGCAAAGGCACGGGGCCACCGGCAGTTCCCGAGCTTACGACTTTGGTGCTGGTCTGATAAGAGTTGGCAGCCGAAACTGTCGTCTGCAATTGCTGTTGGTAGGGTGTGACGACAACTTTGGAGACCGGGGGCAGCGTCGATGAGGTCACGCCGTGATTTGCCGCGGTAGCAGTGCTGGAGGCCTGTGGCGTCTATAAAGTGAGTGAACACAAAGAATACTCCAGGTGGAGGACAACCAAACGATGAGACAGAGTGAGGGCGTAGAAAACAACTAATCGTCACATACCACAGAGTTGGAGGACTGATCAGTCTCGGGATCGAGCGTATCAGAACCACGAGACTTGGTGTCCGACTCAATCACTTGATCAGCAACTCGAGATTTAGGTTGCTTAGATTCCGCAGTTTTCTGACCTCCTTTGACCTAAGGGGAAAAAGACACGGGCTATGAAATTTCTCGAGAAAATGGCCTATACACGGTGATCGTGAGTAAAAGGCGAAAGTACGAGACAGAGGGAAATATGCACATTTTCAAAATGAATGTGGAGCAAAATTATGAGGGTACTTATGAATCTAAGGAAATAAGGCGGACAAAACTCGCATTAGGACTGGTCCCAATGCTGACGTAGAATTTATTAATAGATAGATTAAATTCCTCCTTTCTGGATATCAGTGTTTATCAAGCAGTACATAACAAACGTTGACCGAGGCTCTCGAAAATCAAAGTCCGGTTCAAAAATGTAAACACGAGGGGGGCGCACACCGAGGTGCAAATCGGCAGACCTTGGAATAGTCACGTTGGAGTTATTGGTTGAGATCCCAAAACGAAAGTCAACGAGGAAAACCAAATGCTGTACTTTAACTTCGAATGGTACAGATAAAAAAGCACAAGGTAATTAAACTCACTTCTATTATAATCTTGCTTTCTTCCTTTAATTGCAATTGTCCCGATCGAGAGAGCTGCATTATCAACTCCTGTAACTTTTGCTGACTCAGGGAACTTCCCTCAGCATCCTCAGACAATTGGATAGTCAGGTGAGTGGTACTTGATGAAGATTGGGAACCCTTCTGTTCGTAACTTTCAAGACTGTCACCATTTTTAGGTGGCGAGTCTGAAGGGCGCTGGTCTTCATTGGCAGAGTCGGCCGCAAATGCTGCTTCGGTAGAAACATGAAAGGTGACTCCATCATTACCCTGAGTGAAATGAGGAGAGTCTGACATTGTAATCCGCCGGCTGATGCCTGCAACGTAAGAAACAGTATGAATTGTATTAACCGGAAAAACAAGAGCAAAAGGAACGAGCATAAAAAAGTCGCTTTTAAGAGAAAACCAATCACAGCAGAAGAAGTAAGACGCAGAAAGGTCCAAAATCGATCACGTTACCGAAAGGCTATTTAAAGTTTAGCCTCGTTGCATAACAGAAGTCCATGCAAAATCAGGTCCAACTAGTCTTGTAAGGTGCTAACCCGTTGCGGCTTATTTAATCTGCTTCGGTTGCCAGTCAGAACTTCACTCAAGTCATTCTTTGAAGGGCTGGCTTAGAGCGATGTCATGCAGCAACATACGTTGACAACGGTCATGACCGTTGGGCTTCAGTCCTGGTCCAAATCACAAAAGACCGTGCAGCCATATATATAAGGTCACAAAACGATAAAAACGAGGGCCACATGCGCGCAAAACTCCAGTAGGCGAGCCGGAAATGTTACAACGCCAACAAGTTATACAGAAAGCACCTCAAATTTGTCGTGACATACACGGGAACAAAACTGACTAAATGGAACCAGTAGGCAGCGAAATGTATGTTTCGCCACAGGAGCTGACATATTTGAGGCAAAAACTCGATAAAATACGATAAAATGACTTCGATATTTTGCCAAGGTCAGTCGACGAAATCGTCCCGCCCGCTTGCGGTGTCCTACAGAGCGACCTTCCAGAATGACCTTCGACAACCTTACGCTGGCTTTGAAAACTAGGCACCAGCAATCGAAGTAAAGGCAAAAATCCATCAATAACGGGTTATTTAACATTTGAAAGCAAACAAGGAACCTAGACTGGCCGATTTAACGAATTATTCGCACACAATGGCCGCTGATTTTGGATTGGCCTTGACGGTGAACTACATTGATTTAAACAAAGCCAACAGATGAATGCTTATTTTCCAAATGGCGGTTTAGCTTATGAATAAGACAAGCTCAGATGCGATTAAAACTAAACAAATAGCTTTGAATTGGGTTAAAAGGCTTTCGCACTAAAGCATTAGGGACGGAGACAAGCTATGGTGGGTTTACGGAGGATTCACAATTTCGTAGACTGCGGTCGATGAGTGCCGTAGGAAGTTGTAGGACTTATCGAGCGCAAGTCTCCACAACGATATCCACAAAAACAGAAGTTCATGCATTTAACTAAGAGGTTGTGTAGCAGAAATTGCTTGGAATCTTTCTAGGAGTTAAATCCTCATGGCCTTACAAGGATACATCAGCACTCATTAAAAAGGACCTGTCCTAATTTCAGATATAAACCAATCAAAGCAGTACTCTGGAATAGAACTGAATAGTGGAAATAAACATTAGAACAGATGGTTAATAAACTGCATCATCTTGACCACCCCAGAGACATTAAAAATGTTAAATCTCTCCAGTCTCTTTCTGTTATTTTTCGATCATGATGCTAATCCTTTCTTCGTCCGTAAATGGAAAAAGCCGCAAAGGCCACAGCATCATTTGCACTGGAGTATAATCTCTACTCTTCTCCTACACTCATAAGGGATAAATTCCATTGTTTCATCCTATTCAGGAATGATTCATACGACCAACAATCAAGAAGTGGCCAGCGCTCTACGTGCCTATCCCATTAACAGAAAGAGGCAAAGAGATTTATTCTGCCTTGTATGTCTGCTTCTGTCGCGATGTTGAGCATGCACTCGTCCACAAAAAAGGAGATGGTGGGCAGTATTCGTTCAACCTCGGTCACTAGATCCACCACCTATTAGCTTATGCGACACACCGACTGAACAGCAGTTGAACATATTCCTCACCAACCTGCAAAGGCAGATACCTCCTCATGCCTCATTCTCTCCCTTTCTCAGATAGCACCTACCATCGTGTGCACATCCGATGGCCTCGTTAGTAGTCAATGCTTTCCTACACAGCAACTCAAGTTTTCATTTCGCATAAATCCCTCCTTCTGATGATCGTTTTATCGTCTTACCATTAGGTATTCGGTCTGGTTATTGTTGAAATCTGAGTACAAACACTGATCTAAAGCTAAAGATTCAGCGCCCAGAGGCTTTGTAAGTTGCTCTAGATAAGGAAGTAGAGATAGAGTTCTAACAGCCAAATAACTATTTTTATAATCTTTACGCCGATTGGCAACTTATTCCAGACCACAATTGCGGTAACAGAAAACAGTCGGTGAAATTAGTTGTGCACGCTAAAAGAAGATTCGAAACTCTCGCGATGGCTGTGGGTCGCGGGCAATCAAGATGCCTTTCGGTAGTCATAGAACTAAACATACAATTAGTAACTGCGTTGGCTGGCAATGCTTGTGTAATTAGCTTCCGACTCATTGTTTCCGGTATTGGTTGCCGGCCACCCGTTTTCATGAGATTGTTTTCCTGGACAGTGTCTAGCTTTTTGCTTGCCATATGTGCAAGTAGTCTGTCCAGACGAGGCCAAATGGCTAGATTTAATGAAGAGGGCCTTTTTGTAGATGAACTACTGAATGAAAAACCATGATTCATGAATGTTGCGACTGCGCGCTTGTCACAGAAAAAAGCTGTTCGGTCCTTCGAACTGGCCCAAATGGCTGAGTCCTGCAGAATGCGCCACTAGGTGGAACTATGTGCCACAACGCCGGCACCAGACTCGGCTAGCCGCGAGTTACCACTGCAGCCGGAGGAGACCACAACGAGGCCGGACGTGGCACTCTGGCGTGGCTGCGAAGTGGCATTCGACAGGACAAACAGACTTGGCCACACCATCCGAAAGGAATGCGCGGTAACGTCCTCCATTACTCATTCGTTCCATCCCTTTATGGCCTTGGTTTTGCACCCAGGAGTACACTTATATTAAACTATCGATTATCGCAGAACCTCTAAATTTGTGATGGAAATATTTCGGTCTCTGCGAAAGAAATCAGCGATAACTAGTCCATGTAAACGCACAGAGGAACAACCAAGATAGCGTTTAATCTGCCATGCGGCATAGAATGACTAATCATAAAGGACCCAGATTTAAGTTATACAAATAAACTTGCTTTATTACCTCATGCAGACAGAACCTCTGCCAAAGCAGCGCAGATATGTGGATTCATATGGCATTATTTTTTCCTTCCGGAAATGAAGCTAACACTTTATCAAATGTTTGCTCTTCCAGTCCTTGAATACTAATGTCCTTTCTCTGGTTTAATGAACGCCCGTGACCGCTTTAAGAACAAAAATGTTCAGACGGTTTTCTACCGGAACCTGTTCTCTCAAGTCGCACCTGGTACTTCTTATACTCAGAGATGTCAGCTGGCGAACATTAGGGTTTTGTGGGTTAGGGGACTCGAGTCTGGCCTTTGCTTCCTGTTTCGCATCAACTCTAGCTCCAATCTTCCGCTCATTTACATTCTCACTCCGAGAGATCGGTCTTATACCACGCGCAATTCCTCCATGGTGATTCCGCCGTCTATTTGCACCACATCTAGGCGCTTCCACTTCTTTGCTTGCGAATATGCCTTCCTATGGAATAATCTTCCGCTAGAAATTAGGTCATCGCCCAAGTTACTGATATTCAAGTCTAGAGTTAAACATTCTCAATCATTTATTTATGCCGAGGATCTCAAATGTGTATATTCTTTCAATAAATCTACGAGCCTTCATTGCCTGGAGCAAATCCATGCTGACTTGCTTGCTCTTTCAACTTGGACCTCAAAATGGCTAATGGAATTCTCTCCGTCTAAATGCCGCTATATGTGTTTTTGACCTGACAGGCTACCTCAGCCAGTGGTCTTTCAAGGCACACCTATGACTGAATGTACCATCATCAAGGATATAGGTTAAAGCCACACAAATAATCTTGATCTCTCGCCATACGCTGACGGAATTACACCCAAAGCTGCCCAGATTTGTGGCATTATTTCTTACAATTTCTATCTTCCTGAAATTAAATTAAGGCCCTATCCTATGTTTGTACTTCCCATTCTCGAGTATTGTTGCCCATTCTTTGGTCTGATGAAAGAGGCTAGGTGTTTAAAAATTGAAAATGTCCAAAGACGTTTTTCTAAAAAACTATTAGGTAGGGAACATCCAAATATCTCCTACTCAGATAGATGCCAGCTAATAAACCTAAACTTTTTATGGGTTCGGCGATAAGAAACAGGCTTCTATCTCCTCTCTTATTAATAATAGTTCGAATTTTTCTCTGATTTCAGCATTTACCTTTAGTAGTCGCCCATATAATCTTCGTAACTCTTCCTTGATTATACCTCCTCCAGGTTCCTCCACCAATAAGCGTTCTCCATTTTTCGCTTCCAGACATACTTTCTTCTGGAATAACCTTCCGATAAATATATGATCTTCAGATAATTCACACACCTTAAGAGAAGGCAAGGCCTTTATCTGAATACTAACTCGATTAAATTTTTATTTTGCTTATCTTTCCCGGACAGCCTTCACTTTGACACTGAGAAAGAGCCATCGGGAATTTAGTATGCCTCCATAAAATTTTCGTATCTGTTCACATTTCCTTCTTTTGTGAGTCGTATCGCTTCCTAGAATCCCTCATGAAAAGTGTTAATTTTCCAGTTTGTCAGTCCATCCATCGCGCCCTACAGAATGCAATCTGTCGACGCTCTTGGCGGAACCTTCTGTATTTGTCATACACTAGTAGTCTGGTCGCATCTCCCTTGCCTCCTCCTCGGTTGGATTCGGCTGAATGTAACTGATTGCATCTGGGTTCCTATAGCCTCGAAACTGGTTTTCAATTCGCCAATTTGACATGAATGGCCCCATCCGGCATATGAATTCTCCCATGATGATTGCCGACTCGATCCTTTTGCTCAAGTCCACATACAGGCCAGTCCTGCCTGACCCGCCTATTTACATCTCCATGAAATCTGTCATACAATGCCATATACAGTCCGATCCTACCTGCTTTTTATAAACTAAGGTGCGAGAGTTTTTCCTCTTATAGCTCTAGTCCAATCATACTAATTTTGTTTATTTAGGGAGTTTTTTTACTGCTCGCTCAACACTCTTCGTAACATGCTAATTATTCAAAAAACTATGAATTAAGTACTCTAGTAATTCTGTCAAAAATTCTAAAATTAGTGTAAAACCTATTCTTAATTGCTATGATAGTACCCCCATGGATCTTGAATAAAAATTATTGTTATTATTATTATTATTGTTATAAACAAATTGCGTCAGAAAGTATAAAGGCACTTTTAACGATCTCATTCCTGAACAATCAACTGCTTGACTTCGAGAAGGGTCCTCCTGGGATCTAGTGGTAGATTAAGCGAAAACCTTCATTTGTATCTTTACAAACCCTGTTTTGAACTGGTTTCTCAATTCACTGCTATCAATCCTCCCCATTGCGAGGATTTTCGCGGTTCTTGATGTCATATCCCTCATTTCGACCTTAGGCTGCCTGTCGACGCTCACGGCGGAACCCTCAGTATTCACAGTCTACTAGTAGTTTGGTCGTATCCCCCTTGCCCACTCATCGGCTGGGCCCGAAGCGAACTGTGGCCGATCGCGTCTGGGTTCCTCTCGTCTGGCCTCTTTGACGCGAAGTCTCATCCGGCGAATCAATTTTGCCCTGATGATGTCCGATTACAATCCGTTATATACCGCCGCATGCAGGCAAGTCCTGCCCGCACTTTTCTGTTATTATGAGCGAGGGTTTTTTTCCTGTAAAATTAATTCAATCAGTCTTAAATTTTTAAGAGGAGTTTTTTCTACTGCTTGCTCATCATTTTTCTCAATGGTCTGTAAAGTCAGAAAATATGAGTTGTATTTTGTATAGATTCTGCCTACGTCGTCTAAAATTCGTATGTAAATTTATTTTTTCTTGCTTTAATGGGACTCCGACGGGTCTTCCATAAAAAATTATTTATTTGCAGAAAGGTGGACAGACAATAGTTAGAAACAAAGGCTTATTGAGTATGTGCAGGTGAACGAAATCAGTGCAAAAAATACATACAAGGATGCAGTTCTTCATAGGACATTAAAAGGCTTTTACACCAATAAACGGACCACTTCCACTGATTATTTGCCGATTCTGAAAAAAAATATCTGGGGTAAAACACAAGCAATGTTTTTTTCATTGGGTAAGTAATAATGCTGATGGCAGGGGAAACGCAACTTTCAGGTGGCATGTCAAAGGAGGCTTCCATCAGAGGAGGTCAGATGGAGGCCTGACGTTTCGAGCAATGAATTCGTCTACGCATTCTCAGACACTGGAAGGCCATGCCCACAACTCTTTATGCGCATGGCCCTCATTGACCGACTGTAGGGCTTCATCGGATTCGCATTGCACTGTGACTGGTGTCGTCTCCGTCCTCGTTGACTACGGAGATAACTACCGACCACAGTGGCCTCATGCTATCGCTGGCTCGTGCGGAGAAACGTCATTAGATGAAATAGAGAGGAAGCTAATTAGTTTAGTTGTTAAGTGGGCCGGCGATTGACATCCAGCCGTATTTGCATCCGCCTAAACAAGTAATCATCGCCTCGGCCCGCAATCTCGAGGCAGTTGCAAAGAAGTACGGATGTCTCAGCTATCTTAACTTGTCTCTCCCTATTTGGTTTTATGAACGAATTTGACAGGAGAAAATGACGGCGCGAAGTAATTAGGGTCGTAAATTATCTCAGCGATCATCGAGCGCGAGCTCGACACAAGTCACAGTAAAATGCGGGTCCGATGTAGCCCAACAGCCGGTCAACGAGGGCCAGACAAAGTGAGCTGTGCGTCTCACTTCTCAATGTTCGAAGATATGTAGGAGAATTTACTATTAATGGGAACGCCAGACCTCAGTTAACCTCCTCCAGGGAATTAACAATGTACTATACAATAATTATTATAATATTATGAGAGAGTGAGATATTATGGAGCATGTTAGCAACAGTTTTTTTTCAGTCAACCTGCGTCGGCGACCTGGGATCAGCGCCATCATGTTTGTTGACGATGTTTAGCTGTAGAGAACCATCAGATTTGACGCAGACAGGTGCGCGCTTCAAGGCAGTCTCAACCGCCTGACTAGTTGGTTATCTCGTTGGTTCCTTAATAGTAATATGTACATATGTGTGATACTCAAACTCCACACCAAAAAGATCACTAAGGAGGACGATTATCTTCAATACCTCCTGGGTGTTTAGCCCCTTTCAAATGCTGTGGAACAGAAAGACCACGGTGCCCCAATGACCTCTTCGCTGAAACCATCATCACAGTGTCAAAGGGCAGAAAAAGTGAGATAAGGGTGTTATTTGCGCTAAGATCGATAAAGAGCTATTCGGAAAAGCCTATGGGGCTTTCCTGCGGTCTCCCTTAGAGTATGCAGTCTAGGTCTGGCGACCGTGGTTAAAGAAAGACTATCAGCGAATGGACAGAGTACAGGCGATGGCTACGAAGATGGTCAAGAATCCTAATCGTCTGCCTTACGAAACCAGACTGACCGCATTAAATCTGTTTCCTCTCAAGTACAGGCAATGGCGCGGCGATCTCATTCAAGCCTAGGGGATTGCCAGAGGCCGTGAGTGCGCCCTAGACTTTGATGAATTCTCCGAATTAACCGGGACTGACCATCTGCGTGGTTATCTCTTGAAACTACAAAGGAAGCTGGCTCATTCGGACGTCCGACGGAACGCCTTTTCTCACAGGATCATAGGAACATGGAACGGACTCCGTGATGCGGTGGTTCTTTCCGAAACTGTCGAATCCTTTAAGTGTAAACTAGATGCTCATTTGCTGAGAAACTACTGTTCACAGTAGTTTGCGCCCGGCTCAAACTTACCGCTAACTTTTG